GAAAATGAAGTATATTCAGAAAAATACCTTGTTAAATGAATATTTGAAACTAAAAGTTTTTCGGCAAAATGAAAGAACTATGTAACTGCAAATAAATAAAACAAAACATATTCTAAGTACTAAACGTATATACATATCTGTTCAATGTTTTTTAGGATGTTGTTATGATTGCTTGCCTTATGAAGGACCAATTGTAAATACTTTGATTATAACTGTATATACTTATTTTATATTAATAACAAGTTATAAGTATATTTACAATAATTTTAATACTGTTTTTGATTACGTTCTGACTGATTGATTGATTTGTATGATTTTCTATTGATAATTTTTTGTTTATATATCCATATAACCGCATGCTTTGATTGGCGCGAACAATATCTTTATATAATTTATAGAATTGTTAATAATATTAATATAAAATAGAAAATTTACCTGTATGGAGCCCTAAGCCGACAGTTACACGTGGTCTGATATCATCGTGGTTGTGAAAATTGAAGGAATTTTAACACACTCATAACACTTAATGAAATCTAACTGATCGATTTGTTACACAATGAAAATATCTGATAAGACTGAATAAAACGAAATTCACACTACGGACGTATGAAAAGAATAACTAAACATCGGTGTATGCATGGGCCTACCAAGTTTGTCGAAATTGCCCGATTTTAATAATTTTGATAGTGTTATCCGAATATAAAATTCAATATTTGCAGGTCAGACATCTGACAATTAATTGAGTAAACCCACCGTCGGTCGGATATTTTTTCACCTTCGAACGGTCGGAAAGGTCTGGCAGGACCACCATTCATTTTACATGCATTTATATAGGATAAATGAGTTTTGGAGTCTTATATATTAACGATTATTAGTAGTAAATATTTATAGTTTTGATTTTTTCTTTTTCTTACCGTCTTTTGCATGTGTTGAGCTTTGCTTATAATAAGAATATTACATATTATATTATATAAATAAAATCAAGAAATATAAAAAAATTCTTGCTTTTTTTGTAAATTTTTCTGTTTTATATCAATGAAAACAATATTTATTCTTTTTATTGCTTATAATAAAAATATTACATATTATATTATATAAGAAAAATCAAGAAATATTAAAAAATCTTTGTTTTTTTTTCAAATTTTTCTGTTTTATATCAATGAAAAACAATATTTATTCTTTTTCGGCGCCTTTGAAATGAATGTGAAATTCAAATGAAAACGAAATATGAAACGGATATGACTCCGGTCGGATACAACTCCGGTCGGATATGACTCCGGCCGGATATGACTCCGGCCGGATATGATTCCAGTCGGATATGACTCCGGTCGGATACAACTCCGGCCGGATATGACTCCGGTCGGATACGACTCCGGCCAGATATGAATCCGGTCGGATACAACTCCGGCCGGATACAACTCCGGTCGGATATGACTACGGTCGAATACGACTCCGGCCGGATATGACTCCGGTCGGATATGACTCCTGTTGGATACAACACCGGTCGGATACGACTCCGGTCGGATATGACTCCGGTCGGATACAACTCCGGTCGGATATGACTCCGGTCGGATATGACTCCGGCCGGATATGACTCCGGTCGGATACAACTCCGGTCGGATACGACTCCGGTCGGATACGACTCCGGCCGGATATGACTCCGGTCGGATATGACTCCGGTCGGATATGACTCCGGTCGGATACAACTCCGGTCGGATATGACTCCGGTCGGATATGACTCCGGCCGGATACAACTCCGGTCGGATACAACTCCGGTCGGATATGACTCCGGTCGGATACAACTCCGGTAGGATATGACTCCGGTCGGATATTACTCCGGCCGGATACAACTCCGGTCGGATACAACTCCGGCCGGATATGACTCCGGTCGGATATGACTCCGGCCGGATACAACTCCGGTCGGATATGACTCCGGTCGGATATGACTCCGGTCGGATGCAACTCCGGCCGGATATGACTCCGGTCGGATACAACTCCGGCCGGATATGACTCCGGTCGGATACAACTCCGGTCGGATATGACTCCGGTCGGATACAACTCCGGTCGGATATGACTCCGGTCGGATATGACTCCGTTCGGATATGACTCCGTTCGGATATGACTCCGGCCGGATACAACTCCGGTCGGATATGACTCCGGCCGGATATGACTCCGGTCGGATATGACTCCGGCCGGATATGACTCCGGTTGGATATGACTGCGGCCGGATACAACTCCGGTCGGATATGACTCCGGTCGGATATGACTCCGGCCGGATATGACTCCGGTCGGATATGACTCCGGTCGGATATGACTTCGGTCGGATACTACTCCGGTCGGATATGACTCCGGTCGTATATGACTCCGGTCGGATATTACTTCGGCCGGATATGACTCCGGTCGGATACAACTCCGGCCGGATATGACTCCCGTCGGATATGACTCCGGTCGGATATGACTCCGGTCGGATACAACTCCAGCCGGATATGACTCCGGTCGGATATGACTCCGGTCGGATATGACTCCGGTCGGATATGACTCCGGTTGGATACAACTCCGGCGGATATGACTCCGGCCGGATATGACTCCTGTCGGATATGACTCCGGTCGGATACAACTCCGGTCGGATATGACTCCGGTCGGATAGAACTCCGGTCGGATATGACTCCGGTCGGATAGAACTCCGGTCGGATATGACTCCGGTCGGATACAACTCCGGTCGGATATGACTCCGGTCGGATATGACTCCGGTCGGATACAACTCCGGTCGGATATGACTGACTCCGGTCGGATATGACTCCGGCCGGATATGACTCCGGTCGGATACGACTCCGGTCGGATACAACTCCGGCCGGATATGACTACTGTCGGATATGACTCCGGTCGGATATGACTCCGGTCGGATATGACTCCGGTCGGATATGACTACGGTCGGATATGACTCCGGCCGGATATGACTCCGGTAGGATATGACTCCGGCCGGATATGACTCCGGCGGGATATGACTCCGGTCGGATATGTCTCCGGTCGGATATGACTCCGGTCGAATTTGACTCCGGTCGCATACAACTCCGGTCGGATATGACTCCGGTCGGATATGACTCCGGTCGGATATGACTCCGGTCGGATACGACTCCGGTCGGATATGACTCCGGTCGGATTTGACTTCGGTCGGATATGACTCCGGTCGGATATGACTCCTGTCGGATTGGATATGACTCCAGTTGGAGTCGGAAACGACTCGGGTCGGATACGTCTCAGCCCGGACATAACTCCGGCCGGATAAAACTCCGGTCGGATATGACTCCAATTGGATATGACTCCGGTCGGATATGACTCCGGTCGGATATGAGTCCGGTCGGATATGAGTCCGGTCGGATACAACTCGGGTCGGATACGTCTCAGCCCGGACATAACTCCGGCCGGATATAACTCCGGTCGGATATGACTCCAATTGGATATGACTCCGGTCGGATATGAGTCCGGTCGGATACAACTCCGATCGGATATGACTCCGCGCGGATATAACTCCGGCCGGAAATAACTCCGGTTGGATATAACTTCGGCTGGATATGACACTTCACGGACCGGCCGGAGTCATGGTTTCGTAAGAAAGATGAAGAAATTTTTTGTTTGTTTTATAATTGAAAAGGAAAAATTTGATTTTATTACACAACAGTAATGAATTTATTTCGATTACAAAAATGAAGCATTTTTTAGTTGAACATCTCTAAATAAATGAAAGTGAATCCGCAAATTATCCGTTTCATTTAAGGGCTCTTTGGTAAACCACATTTTTTGTTTTTTGGTCTGACGTTAACACGAACAAAGCGGATGGTTTTCCAACTCGTGAACAGGCAACGTACAACTGCCCATGTGAAAAACAATGATTTTCTAAATAATCTATTTGAAATTTATCCCGCAGCGATGGCCTTGCTACTTGATATTGCGAACGCAAGGCAAACTGGAAATTGCAATCGTTTGAAATCAAACGGAAGACCAGTCGGAATCATTGTTATGGCACCAAATCGCCAGCAATTTTTGATTGAATGGTGAAAGTCAGTGCGTGTACATCATTATTCTTTGCGGCAAGAATTGCTCGTTGACTTAACCAAGCATAATTCTGATAATTCTCACTAATGTCATTACTCGAATTTTTAGATAATCTATTTGAAATTACTTAAAACAATTATTGATTACTTTCATTACTCGTGTTTTTAATTACGGTGCGTGAAGTTCCAGCAATTTGCACAGAGGCACGATGGCATGCACCACTAATTTTCTTAACTATAAACCTTGCGCAGCCCGAGACCTTTCCAACGAATGCAAAATTGTCGAAATCGGTTCGTGCGTTCTGGAGTTAAATCGTCAGGAAGGAAAACCTGACTTATTTTTATATATATGTATATATATACATATATACATAGATAATATTTTAATATAATTTTAATATATATACATATATACATATATATATAGATTTTAATATAATCTTCTTTTAGCTATGGCCATAACTGCCCTACGGAAAGTTAATAAACATGATGTGATTACTAATTAATAATTTCACAAATTTAAATTGAATGAACTTACCTGTATCACCCAAAATCTTCAAGAAACTGGAACTAGTATATTAAGCTCATCTTAAGCTTTCCAACAACAAGACCACACTGACGACCATTATTGGTGGTTAAGCTACGAATTGGGTTAAGCTTAAGCTATCTAAATAGTAATAATAATTACATATATTAACAGTAAAGGGCCCTACTTGTTTATCTATGAAAGGGCCGTTACCGTTACCAACAAAATAATTCCGTCAGCTCAGCTGCTTCATCTATCTTCATTCTTCATTGAAAATGACAGCTAACAGTCAGGCCATGACAGTTAGCTAATAACCTAACAAAGCTGATACTGAAAGAAATAGAGCGGCATGTTGTTAATTAAAATTTTAATGAAATAATTTATTGATTATATAAAAATTTATTATATATAAATAGACTAAATATATATTATAAACTCAATGCTAAAAAAAATCTAATTGGCATTCACATTTATAAGTTACATAAATATTTAAAAATTCTTTCTCTAGATTTAAAATATGGCAAAATATTTGGCCAGGCAGGGTAAAATGTTGACGAAGATCATGCATGGCACTAATAAGAAAAAGTATGAATCATATTATATCTAAAGTAATTACTTTGCTGTACAATATTAACAATAATTTGAATTCAATTAGAAAATTTCGCTTTGATGTTGTGCCAACAGTTCTTCCGACACCACCATCAATAAGCAAAGCTAACAAATCCCAAGGTTCTTCTAAACGACGGACATTCGTATTAAATAAATTGTTTATGAAATATATAACTGAAATTATGGCAATGGGAGCAATAGGTAGTGACATTCTTGGTCATGGAATCGAAATATCAAGAGTAAGTCATATCAAAACCCTGCATAATAATTATCATTGACCAAAGGTAAAAGTATTTGTTTGCAAATTCATTATAGGTAAAGATCAATTCAGATTTTAATAAAGTTAATGTATATTGGCTTGCAAAGGGCACGGAAAAAGATACTGAGATAGAAAATATTCTCAAACTAAATGCGACACAGCTTAGGCATGAATTATCACAATTGAGAGTAATGGGAGAAGTCCCACGCATTGAGTTTGTGAAAGGTAAAATATGAAATTAATATATATTTATTTATATATATTCATACATATAACTAATGGAACAGAATTATTATTGTTAGATAAATATTATGCTACTATTGCTGAAGTTGATGAATGTTTAAAACAAGCCGATTTTGGACCTGATTACACACCCAGCATTGATTACAGCAATAAACTGCGATCTGAGTTCACTCTAAATATGCCTTTATCACAAGAAATCAAAGTATCAATGCTTTATTTCGTTATATTTAATGCTATAAAATTCAATCTAATTATTTATAATAATTTTGCAGAATAAACTATCACTTTTAGAAAATGATACCAAAGAAGATGCAGTTTGCGAGGTTGCAAATAGCTTACCTGTAATGACTTCAAATGTATATGGACTGGACCAAGCTAAAATTATGGAAAAAGTGAACATTAAAATAAACCTATAATAAGATATACTTGGAAATAAGTGTGATATTTTGATTTTTATTTTTAAGGTAACAAAAGCAGTTAGACAATCAAACCTAGCATGGGAAAAATCTAAATCTAATATAGTATTTACAAACGAAGGACTTGCACCACAAAATATGGATTATTTTCAAAATGCGCAGAATGTAATATATGAAGAAAGAAAAGATAAGTTTGCTGAATTTTTGAGAATGCGTCAAATTGAGAGAAATAAGGCAATGAGAAAAGAAAAACATAAAGCTGAACTTGAAAAAGAATTTATTTTTGACAGTATCAAAAGTGAAGAATGTGATGATAATGATGATGATTATGATTATGTGAATGAAGAAGATGATGATTTAGAAGACATAAAATAATCATTATTTTTATTTTTCTGTTAGTATTTTAGAAATAAATTTATCTTTTTTGTTTACAATAGTTGGCTTTTATTCAGTGTATTTAAGGATGCATCAATTGAAGATAATGAAAAGTAAGATATATTATCTATCCCAGCTCTTGTGATTAACACTGGAACATTGTCATTTAATTGATATTTTGCCTTTTTTATACAGATTTCACATGGCAAATCTTGATCTAAATTTCTAAAAATAAATTTGAAAATTATATTAAATATTATTGCACTAAATTTGGTTTAGAAACCTATACAACCTTAATAAAATGATTCTATAAGAAGGAGAATTGCATGAAGACTTCTTGAAATCACGCTTTGGTCTATAGAGATCAAAGTCAAAAATAAGTTCAGTGTGATTACACGCTTCAGTCAGATTTCCAAATACTTGAAGGTTTCTAAAAACATGTCCAAAATCTGGATATCTACTATCATTCTTAATTACTGATCCTATTATTAAAAAAATAATGTAAATATTAAATGGATTGTAGTATCATTATTAATTGTAAAAAATACCTTTTTCAATTATTTTCAATTTTTTGAAATTTGAATTATTACTTTGAAGATCTGAATATTTTCTTTTAAGATCGGTATAAAGATTATATTTATTATCACAGCAGGTAACTTTTGAAGTACTTTCAGGAATATCTTTTTTTAAACTAGAGCTGAATGGAGGACTTTTCCTGACAATATTTCCTTGATTATTTCAACAATTTTTGAATCACAGATTTGAAAAAAACAGTCCATAATGCTATTACTCACTTATTTCTTTTAGGATCATGCCTAAAAATGATGTATCCAAATCTACGTAGTTGTGCATAAACTCTATAACAATCTATAAAATTTACTATATCTTTGCCAACCGCGGATCTCACTTGTTCCAAAGACATAGGAACATTTTTATAATTCAATTGTAATTGACTCTGAATAAAATAGGATAGCTTAAGAGTTAAAAATTATTCATAAGAGTTAAAAATAAATGACTTACACTTTCTAATAGAAAGGTGATTTCAAATGGATCTATTAGTAATCTATTGCATACTTTTGTACCAATTGTAGCCCAAATCTTGCTAACTTGACGAGTAACCACAGCTACATTTTCTTCTGGTAACTAGAATATGTACATTGAAATCATTGATTTGAAATGTTTTTCAATGGGATAGAAAAATTAAAATAATAAATCAAATCATTCAATTAATAAAAAAAAATCTAATTCGAGATCTTCAATTAATATATATTTAATATTCATTCATGATTGTTTCATTAATAGTTGCTCACTTACCCATTCAGCCACAGAAAGATGCTCAACTTTCTCCACTCTACTAGCTTTTATAAAACTATATGTTTCACTAAGGTAAGATTCGGTCTGCGAGTTGAAAATAAGGAAGGCATTAAAATACTTTGAAATAAAAAAGTATATTATCTATAAGAATACCTTTTCCTTGATATCTAAAACTTCAGTGGTCGAAACAAATTTTGTTTCTTTTCTGGGCTTAGGTTTCAGTTTAGCGTATTGACTGTGTTCAAATAATAATTCACCAGCGCTAAATATTTTAAATATGAATTTTAATTCAAATAATATATGAATATCTGTACTAAGTATAATTTATTTTATACCTCAAGTGCTTGAACATATTGAATTTTTTAGGTTATTAGTTATTGCATCCTAACACTAAAATGTGACACATTAGGGTTAACTTTACATAGATTACTACTCTTATAGATTAATACTCTTCTTTCATCTATGGATTAACCGTTATTTTTTAATATGATTATGCCAGAGTTAGATTTTATTTTTAACTTCCGAAGGATTGGATAAGGTTGTTTTTGCCAGAAACTCCGTTTCAAATAAATCTGAATCGTTTAACTCAAAATTAAGAATATGTGTCTGTATATATGTGAGATCTTTCATCGAGGTTTTCTTCAAAAAGGCCGAACCAGTTTTAAGGATTTAAGAGCCGTTTGATGAATGTTAATGAAATCTAGCTTTTATTAACTTCCCGAAAGGAGAGGTTTATGTTTTCACAAAAAAAATCGATTCACTAATGAGGCCAAATTTGGAAAAAGTATGTGTGTGTGTGTGAACAGTTTTTTTGTCGTAAATCAACGTTTTCTCAAAAACGGCTGGACCGATACTAAAATTTTAAAAGCCATTCGATGTATTTCGATGATTTGTCAGTTTTGTGCGACGATCGGCCCGGAATTCTGAATCGATTTTGAAAATTCAAAAACCGTTTAAAAGATATTGGTTGGGAATCGTGCTGATTAGTTTTGGGTGGGATCGGCTGGACTGTTTTCTTCTAATAAAGTGTTAAAAAAAATTTTTTTTCAATATTGTTGAGCGATTTTTCTGTCCTACAGAGTCCTACTTAAGTGATTTGTCTGTTCATGACCATTCCATTTGGAAAGCCACGAAAAATATGAGAAGACCAACCTCAACGGTATCTCCAATTAGAAATGATGATGGTTCTTGGTCTAGATCAGCAGAAGACAAGGTTATTACCTTTGCAAATCACCTTGAAAAGGTCTTCACTCCTCATCCTTGTAATGTACCTAACGATCAATTCATCACAGATTACTTGAATGACGGTAATTTTATAGACGAGCCCATTCCAAAAATTAAGTATTCTGAGATAAGGTAAGGTAAGAGATTTTTAACTATATTATTTAATGCCATGTATTTTTTGTATGCCAGAAACGCTATTTCATAATAAAATATTAAATTAAATATATATTCATAATTATAATTTAAGTTTTACACCACAATAACCAATTAAAATTCAAGATCATTGTCATTCATATTATCACTTATATCAAGATGTTGACTGCTTGATATTAGTTCAATCTGATCAGAATGATTTTCATTACAAGAATTGTAATTTAAGCATTCTCTTGAATCAGATGTATCTTTATAAATCCTAGGTGATAAATTATTAGTATTTCTTGAAATATTTTTGCTAGCATCCAGTTCTGGACTTTCTTCGCTGTCTGAAGAAACATTATCTGTATTCATCTTTTCTATATTTTCTTCAAGAGTGTGTATAAAGTCTTGGACCTGCATAGTTTATTTTACAGTTAAACACGATTGCTTAATTTGTGACAAATTTCATTATGAATAAAGATATATATCTATCTATATAGATAGAAAAAAAATTAATAAAAAAAATTACCCCAGCCAATGATTCTTTAGCTAATTCCAATACAGTTCTAGCACATTGACTGTATGAGGAATCTGGCCCATTATAAGTGTCTGAATTGTGAACAATTAGTTCAAACTGTGCTAAAAAATCGGCAGCTGTATGAAAACGCTGATCTAGAAACACAAAAAATGGTTTGCTTTAAATTTATAAATTACATTCTAACAGGTTTTTTTTATCAAATACTACATATTTGGAATCTAAGTATGCATTTAAAAGTAAGCATTAATTCGATTCTACACTATCATAGCCAAATAAATACCTTTAAGATTTTGGGCAATTGTATTCATATCCATGGGATTTTTCACTATGTCATAGTAATCCTTGTATTTCAATTTGTCAACTGGTTTCCAAAACGGTCTTGATTCAGGCAGGAGGCGAACTTTATTTAAAATATTTGTAAATATGAAAGATATAGCAGCCTGAAAAAATATATTTATGCAGTATATTATGTCAATATGCAATTTTGTTCATAATATATTGAGCTAAAACCTTATCATTGTCTAGAAGTGGATTGATCATTTTTTCTAATTCAATTAATTCAATTTCACGCTCTGAGAGCCTTTCAACGCATTTATTTAGCAACTTAATGGCATCTCTAGTATAAATAGATTCCACTCCTGCAGAATTATACATTTATGTTTGAATATATATATATATATATATATATATATATATATATATATGTAACATGTGATGGTAAATTAAATCAATAGTTTTTATTATTTTACCATTATATGTTGTTGAATTAACAACTATTTGATTCACATCACTTAAGAACATTTCTCGAGTTGTGTATAATTGCTTTCTAATTGTTTCATGTATTATTAATAAATCCATGGGTTTCACCACTTTGATGTAATAATCAGGATAATGCTGAAGTTTTTTTTATTATTAATACTTTAGTATATACAAATTTAACAAAAACATAATTTTGATGTAAAGATTATACCTTAGGATTAACAGCAACCAAAAATGGTTTAGCAAATACTTCTTTTCTTATATTAATGAGAATGTCATCCAAAATTGCACAAAACATTACCACAGGATCTCTTCTTTTATATGACATTCGAGGATGGTAACTTTTTCTTGAATTTTCCAATTTGATAACTGGTTGAGAAGCATAGATCTCTCGCTTAGGAATAGAAGTTTTCTTTTTAAACAAAGACGGTGGCTGAAATAAATAAAATAATCCACATGTGTAATAATGATTTAATAAAGACACTGCTGAGAATTAAATTTTCATTTACATGTTTCAGCTTTTCTGCTGTTCTATTCAAAATAATTTTGAAGGGCGGTACAATTTTCACTTTGATAATTTTGTCCTTTTTTTGATCATGCGCCTCTTTCTTAATTATATCAGCAGCTGAAAACAATGTATGAATGCATTTAATCTTTTTATATGTTCATATTTTGACAAACCTGATTGCTTTTTGGAGTATGTTTTAGACTTCTGCGGTTTCAGTTCGGATAATCGGATCTACATCAAAATATGTAGCGATTATGAAATGTAATGTTATGCAAATTTTTATCAAGCAAAAAATATAATTATAATATCTTTGCATTTCGTAAAATTGTGCAATGAATCATTAAAATAAAATAGTTATGTATAAAGTTTTATTACTTGTGGCTTTATCTTTACTGCCTTCCTTTCAACCTTTTTCCTTTTGTTTTCTTCGCCTCCTATGAAGTCTTCCAAAAACTTTTCATCTTTGGTAGTTCGAATGGCGATATACATATTAACAACTCTTGAACTATGTACAAAATAAAATTATTTTGTCAGTCATAAATAATGAGGAGCATCAGATATATTTATTCATCAGGAATGAAATAAATGATTTTAATACATACTCTCTAATATATTCTACTTCCTCAGTTTCTTTTCCATCAGGGCCTATTATAATCCTTGCAATTCTTAGGCATTCATCTATTTTTCATAGTATTGTTTTAGAATATTTAATTCTATTTCCAATACAGATAATAGCCAAATTAAAAGAGCTTACTTGGTTTAACAGTAATTCGCTGATCCTCTTTTTCTATTTTCATTTTTTTTCGTTTTCTATGTTCCAAATAACGTTCTAATTTTCTTTTATGATTGATGAATTTTGTGTCATTCATTGCCTTTAAAACATGTATGCATGTATAAACAAATTTATATATATATATATATATATATATATATATATTGTTCAACGTTGAGACATGTCTTGATATGATTTTCAGCCAGTCGTCGAAATAAAAGAAACAAATAAATACAAAATATTTATTTAAAATATACGTTTCGACATTCGTAAGAGTTGCAAATGTGTTCAGAACCAATAGATTTGCAACTCAAGAAATAAGAATAAGTTTTCTGAACATGTGGTTAGTTTAAACCATACTTTCAATACCAAGAACCCTCTTATTTTACATAAAGAAAAGAATGTTGACCTCAGAAAATTTTCTGAGTCTGTATTTATTTTTTTAAATCCCCTTTGCGTTAATAAACGAAATTCTGCTTTTCTAGTAGATGACTCTTATCATAATATTATGATTTTTTTCAAAAAATAAATAATTTTCCAAATTGATGACTATTGTGTTTTATGTTTATTTGATAGGGTTTTTTTTTTCAAAATTTTTGTCCTCACGGTTTAACATTCCCTGAAAATCAACTTTCTTCCCTTCAGTGTGTCACGTGGTTCTCGTTGGCGCTACAGTCGCATACGTACAAAACTACATTCAAATTTAAAATCAAAAGCAAAACATGTTTCAGTTAATATTGTTAGTTTATATATTTATTTTATTTGTATATATATGTAATTATTTCACAAAACAATGTTTTATTTTTTGTGTTTTTTTTCTGGTGTGGTATGTATATTTTTAATTATTTTAAATATAAATTAAGTTTATTTTTTAAAAAACTCTTTGTAAATATTTTTTTAGATACTCTTAACAAAGAATTGTTAAATGATGACACACAATCCGTGTCAAAACGTATATTTTGTATTTGTTTCTTTTATTTCGACGACTGACTGAAAATCATATCAAGATATATATTAGGGGGACCGGAAAGTAATGTCGTTTCTGCGCATGCCAATACTTGATTGTCATTTGTCAGCTCATTGTTTGGTTCAGAGGCGTACCAAAGACATTGTGAGGTTATAGTGATTTCTTTACTTATAGACAATTGAATTACAATTTTTTTTTTGTAATTTTGGGTAAAATGGCCAGCCAAATACCAGAAGAGGTACACATCCGGCATTGCATGCTCTTTGAGTTTCGCAAGGGAAATAACGCAACAGTTGCTACCAAAAACATTTGCGATGTTTATCCAAATGCACTGGACGTTCGTAAATGCCAAAGGTGGTTTTCCAAGTTCAAATCGGGTAATTTTGATCTTTCCGACTCGTATCGATCAGGAAGACCATCAACGTTAGACAACGACGTGTTAAGGGCGGAAGTGGAAGCAAATCCGTGTCAGACGATCGAGGAATTGTCAAACAGTCTCAACCAACCTTGGTCGACCATCCAAGAACATTTGAAGCAGATTGGGAAAGTAAGCAGAGCAGGTGTTTGGGTCCCGCATAATCTGTCCGAACAGAATAAGGCTAACCGATCAATCACATTCAACAGAAAAAAATAATGAATTGGGGTGGGAGGTGCTGCCTCATCCACCATATTCGCCCGATGTTACACCATCGGATTTCCTCTTATTCCGAGCGCTGCAACACTTTTTAAGTGGCAAAACATTTGCAAATTTGGATGATATCCAAAATGCCATCTCTAGATATTTTGCCGAAAAACCAATTAATTTTTATCGATCAGGGATTGAAAATTTACTCACTAGATGGCAAAAGGTTATTGACAATGATGGGGAATACATCATTGATTAAAAATAAAGACTCGTTAAAAATGTATGTGTTTGTATTTAGCGTAAGAAAACGACATTACTTTCCGGTCTCCCTAATATATATATATATATATATATATATATATATATATGTGTGTGTGTGTGTGTGTGCGTGTGGATCTGTGTTTGTGTGTGAGTGTAAGAATATTAATCATATATACGGTTGTCATGCTAATAAATTAATTTACTCACGTCTTTGTTTTTATCAATCAACTTGAATTCAACTAATTTTCCTAATCTTTCAATTTCTTCTTCTTCACCACTTGAAGTACTGCTTCTATCTGTATCATCTGAAGATAAAATCTGTTCAGAAGACAATTTTGATCTTTGCACTTCATATGTTCGTTGAAAATCCTTTTTATACCTTAAAATAGGAAGATTTTCCATATATTTATTATTCCTTGCCTAAATAAAATGAAATATTCAAATATATGCCTGGTTTGTTTTGTAAATTCGATTGTTGATTCTTGATTTGTTGATCTTGGCAATACTTTTTTATAAAATTTTTGAAATTTTGAAAACTGTATGTTGCGCTTTGTTGTTCTCGCTGCATCTAATATATCCCATGTGGATAACTTTTTAGTCTAAAATTGTATGATGTCATTTATTAATCTACATAAATAATCTACATAAAATGATATGATATTAATGAATTACCACTGCGGAAGAAACTCCAATAGCTTTCAAAAACTCTGTAGCTTCTTTAACTGTCATACTAACATCAACCTGCTCAGAATTTTTACTTGCTGTTCTGCTGTCATGCATTGAAGATGCTGGCATAAGCTTGTTTTCAGTTGCTCCTTGTGCAGCTTGATTAATTTCAGATATGCTTTGATTCTGTTTCATAAGTCTGGTATTACGAGCAGTTGCATTCATATAATCGTTTGTTATATTCCAAGGTGCCCTGGACATTTCAGCCTCCAAGTATCGTTTGTGAGAATCTCGAATAAAAAATTTACATCCTAGTCCAATATCCTGTGGACATTAATTTTATTATTATATTCTTTTGATTTTATTATATTCTGATGATTAAAAAAAGATCTATAAACAATAAAGCATACCTTTAACCTTTGATGAGCAGCCAGCATGCTAAAGTAAGCACAATATTGTTCTGGACTTACCATAGCCTGCATTTCCCGTTCTGATGGTAAATGAAAATCTGATTTAAGCACCCAGTGAAACCCATTTAGCCCATCATGATCAACTTTTCGATAAGTAGCACACATCTATAAGTATAACAAATCAATGAAGATGGATGTTGCACAAAATTTATTGCCATTATACTTTACATTTAATTTTGATCGATACATTTGCTCCGGAACGCTAGGAAATTTTCTTTTTAAATCACTCATAACAATAACTTTTGGCTCATAAGGGCTACTCCAAAATAAACGATAGATGTACACCTGAACAAATTTATAAAATAGATTTATCATTTCAGTATGAATTACAAGCATTTATAAATAATCACCAATAGCATGCTGTTTTTAATGTTTTTAGCTTCTAAGGATGAAGGACTTGGAATTTGCATAAACGGGCATTGTTGACCAGCAAGAAATAATGCATTATATTCACGAACATAATAATCATCCCTAGAATTGAGAATTGCGCAATAAAGAAAATATTCTTATTTGGTTTTTAATATTGAAGAGTTTTTGATAAATGTTATTTACAAATAAAGACTGATGGAACAAAAATATACTAAGTTAATTTCTATCATGTATTTATTGGTAAATACCCTCGCCTGATCACTATAAAATCAATAGCAGGAATTTTATGCTGGTAGATTGGTGCTCGATACATATTATTCTCCAAAGCCGAATAAAATTTTCCAGGTGATATGTCACCAGAAAATGGAGACTGATGAACATAAGCTGTTCTCCCATAATTGCAGGTAGACTTGACAAAATGTTTCATTAATCGATCTCGTTTTAAATAATTGATTATTGCTGAACACATACCCATCTGCAATATAAAGTTATTACTATATTGCTTTTAATTATATTAACAAGAATAGAGCAAAATCATAAAAAAAAAAATTGTGTTTCTTTCAAAATATGATGCCATTAGACTAAAAAAAGTCAAAGGTAAATATAATATATATTATTTATCAAATATATTTTAACCTCGTTTATAAACAATGGATATTGATCTGACCACTCTACAAGTATCAAGTTCCCACTGCAACCAGATAATTCTTCTAAAGTATTTAATTTTTCTATCATTCTGCTATTATCAACTACGGTATTAATTTCTTGAGTCTTGATCAACCTCAAATATTTGTGGGTTGTAATTTCTTCATCATAGTCATCATCAACATATGGACTAGGATGGGAGATAAGCTTATTACGGTGAAATGCTCGTGTCATAGGAGTTGTGAAGTTAATCTATATATAAAACAATAAATTTCAATTTATCTTTAAATTTGGTTACATGAAATAACTATCTGATTAGGTAATGTGATGAATCCATTGAATTAATTTTTTCATAAAGTTATGATCAAGACTTAATCAAGGCTAAAAAAATACACTTCCTACCATGACATACGGATCTTGAAGCCGTAGAATACCCTCAGCATGCTGTATAACTGCAAGAAAATGAGCTCTTCTTGTATAATCTCGGGGATCATCATAATCATAAAAATAATCATTCGAAATATTGAAGTTATCTTCTTCTTGTGGTATATGTTTACGTAAGTTTTCTGTGAAAAGATGTGTTTGTTATTTCCACAAAATACATTCGCTAACTAAATTGTATATATATATATATATATATATATATATATATATACTCGTATATATGTACATACATATATAGGTACATATATATGTTTTCAATATATCAAAAATATTTTTACTGATATCCCTTGCAGCCAGATGATTTTCAATATCTGTTGCGCCACGGTCTTGAAAAGTGGATTCAGGCAATGCATAACTCAAGTTAGGTTTTAGTATTTTCTCTACTGTTTCAAAATCCCAAATAACATCATCTTCCCAAATATAATCTCTATGTTCAACATCTAAAAGAACAGGCAATGAACTGAACCATCTACCACCACGTTTTTGCAAGAAGTCTTGTCTATAGGTAGACGGTATCACGTTGCCTAAACATAAAAGTAAATAATAATAAGTACTAATTATGCTGTAATCTGTAATCATTTACCATTGCGCAAAGGTCCAGAATCTAAGCTATAAAATTGATTAGTATATTTTTTTAGAGTCCAACCAGTAAACACTTCTGATGATAAAATCTTGGACATTATCTAAGAGAAAAACAAGTTGCATTAACATGCACCTAGATTAAAACAATATAAGATTTAATTGTATAAGCTTACTTTTTCTCTATGCATGGTAGCATCCCATATAACATCGTCTTCCCATTGTTGCTGAGTAACCATCAGAAAAGCATCATCAGGAAAACATTTATGATTGCCATTCGAATGAATACCACTGTCTTCAATGGTATTATTATTTGAACTATTGTTGTCTAACAATTTATTATTAGCATTCATTCTTTGATTTTCGAGTATATTTTTAATTTTAAAACCATAATCAACACTTGTTGCATCCAAAGGCAATCCCAAGTAATCATACCATAGGCGTGCAGGCCCTGTACGCCAGTTAATCTTATGAACAATATGTGGTTCTTGTTGTTCGATTCTAAGGGGTTTTCTGTCTTTCTGATATTTTTTCTAAATGTTTTATTAAAAAAGTAAAATATAATATATAAAATATTTAAATATATATATATATATATATATATAAAATTATGCTGATGTATTAGATTATTTATTCGCAATTTAAAATATATAAATATATTATTATTTGAATTTCATTTCTTACAACAAGCCTGCATCCGCGCTCATAATATTCTGATTTTTCTTTATGCTCTGGTGATGAACTTTTACTATTTAGTGCTTTTACTATATTCTCCAAGACTTCTTTACTTAAATTAGGTAAATGATCACTATTATATTCCAAACCCCAAGACCAGAATACTGGAGCATATTTTAAGAAATCACGATCAATTTCATCATTCGAAGCATCGTTATCATCACAAGTGTTCGCTGAATCAAGTAAATTTGCGTTGGAATCACTTTCTTTACAATCTGATTCTGTTGATAAACCATTTTCTAAAGGTTTCTTCGAGAAATAAAAGTCAGTTAAGGACAATTTATTTGTCTTCGCATCTACCTCCATTCGTATATTAACACAATCCTGATCCATGTTTAATTTTAATATAAACTAGTATAAATTATATCAATTACTACGATAACAAGCACAAGATGTTATTTGTTCACATTTATAATAACGATAACAACTACCTTTTTTCGACACCGTTCAAGGCTATACTGATCGCAATAAAAGATGTTGCCAGATGTGAACTTATAACACCATCACAAATATCCATCGAGAATATGTTATCCATACTCTTTAAAGTAAATAAACATTACCCTTATGATTATCCTACACCTACACAAATATAATAAATTGATGATTATGCTCTTCTCTTAGACAATATCAGAATATGTTATATTCATTTCAATATGCTATTACATTTTCTTAAGCGGACTGATTGAAAATCACTCAAAGTCAGCTTGAAAATTCAGTTTGATTCAACTACATTGAAGATACTTAATTATAAAGTTCTTCAAACAGAATGTTTCTTAAAAAGTATAAATAAGTCATACTGATAAAATTGAACATTTGGCCCAACTAAACACTTTGCGCCTCAAATATAACTAAATAAATATAAACATAATTTATGTTGGTTTATATTTAATTTATTTTGGTTTATGTTTACGTGAATCTGCACGTGTTGAGAACTGTCATCAATCTCATCTGTCAATTCATTGCGCAATGCACTGACAAACTGCAAACAAAGGCAAATAATTAGCTCGTAATGTGCTGTAAATTTAATATTTTTACAATAATATTGAATCTACAAAAAATACTCAAAAAAAATAGGTATTATTATATTTAAAACAAATATTTTTTTCAGATTCAAATGAATGTCTGTAAAATATGTGAAGCGAAAGGAAACAAAAGAAGTTTAAATTCAAATGTAAATTTAAAGTACCAAAATTTCGTGCTTATATAATTAAATTGTTATAACGTCTATGAAATCAAAATGCAAAAATTACAGTTGACTTTGGCTATTATTAAGCCTTATATACTCAAACAACCATTCATTTTGGAGCATGTCAGAAATATTATTTTAGAAAATGACTTCAAAATCATACTGTCAAAAAGAGTTGTTTTGAGCCAACAAATGGCGGAAAACTTTTATAGGGAGCACAAAGAAAAGTTTTTTTATAATAGACTTGTAACTTTTATGACAAGCGGTGCCAGTGATGTGTATATTTTAGCTAGACATGACGCTATTGAATATTGGAGAAAGCTGATGGGGCCCACTAAAGTTTTTAGAGCACAGTACTCACATCCTGATTCTATCAGAGGAAAATTTGGATTATCCGATACCAGAAATGTTTCCCATGGTTCTGATTCACCTGAAAAAGCAAGAGAAGAAATTGAAACCTTCTTTCCTGATTTCTCAGTAGACAAGTGGATGTGTGAAGAAGAAGTTAGTTTTAGAAACAATAAAATTCATTTTATAAAAGAAGATTTTAAACATATACCATTGCTAGAAAAAGTTTGTTTACGCTCCTAGCATCATGTAATATATAAATTATAAATAATATATATGAATAACATTGTGAATTTATTTTATTAATTTGAGTTACACATGTAACAAACATATTTTTTCATAATTTTTTTTATAATAGTTTAAACTAATAAACAACAACAATTACTTAGTCTTATCTCTTACATTTTGCTTACTAAATATAAATTTTGTATTCTGTCAGTCTGCGAATGCATGTTATGAATTTCAAGAAAACATTGCAAAACTAATTAACATTGATATAGCAACTTGAATATAACATTCAAAAGATATTACACCAGCAAATAAGTAATTTTAACATTAATCATAATGCCAAATATGAATTACGTATGAAACGCAAAATTATTTTTCAATAAATTCATAGTGATTGTGGTAATGTAAATTAACATATTTGATTGATTATTTTCACAATTTAGCAATGGCTTGACACAATTACTTGAGAAGCATATACATAATTAAAAAAAAAAAAATCTTCAAAAAATAAATCCTATTATTACATTTAAGTATTGAAATTAATAAAGTAATTTCTTTCCTTTTAGATACATAGGGCATCTAAGAATTTATGAAACTCATTCTTTATTCACAGTGAAACAGTATTCTTTCGATAACAAATCGCAAGTAGTATCGCATTCAATAATGATAGTATTATTCAATGTTGTAAACATTTAACTCTAATGGAAGAATTTTAAAATATATGTTCGGTATAAAATAAATAAAATATATTTAGGCAAATTATTAATAATTCAACATTATGTTTTATAATTGCATCTAAGTAACAATTGTAATACACTTGTATTTTTTAATATTTCTATTGTGTTAACCTACTTTCAATAACACTTTTTGCCAAAGCCTTTTTACTGTAGTTATTTCCTACATAGGTTATTCTGTACCACATATAATCAGTGTGCAGATTTTGATTAATCCATTGATTATTTCATAGTACTAACTGTGTTTAATGTGTACCAACATATCAAGTCATGCTAAATAACGTACAATAGAAAGCAGTCTAAGTTTTATCCTAAATTATTACATAACTGACAATAATTTTTTCAATAATTGTTCACATATTGTACAACTCATGTGAAGACTATCAAGATATTAATCAATATGCTTAATACATACATGCATATATATATATATATATATATATATATATATATATATATATATATATATATATATATATATATACTTTTATCCTTTGCATAAATAGCATTAGGTCTTTTTTGAAACAAATAACTGAAACAACTTCATATTTTGAAACACCTTTTCATTCAACACTAATTTTTCCTCTAATTGATTATTTTATATAAATTGATTTTCAATATAAAACTTAAATTAGAAAATTTATATAAATAGGAAACAGAGTTTAAGTTAGACGCATGTTTCATGACTGTTGAGATAGATAGTTCTTATTTATTAAAAATGATTGTTAGAAGGCATAAACAGTTAAAATCTGTTATTTACAAGTACATATAATAACATACATACTGTTTTATCAAAGGAAATTATAATAATTTATTTATTCAATTATAGTAAACTGAAAATTTTAATCACTGTAAATTCTTTTTTTCATTTAAGCAGGGTAAACGTATGGATAAAATGTCACTTCAACTTTTAATATAATAAATATAAATATAAATATACTTACTAATAAATATACTTTGTTTTAAGCAAGTTAATATTAAATAAAGTTGCACAAATAAATTAGGCGTTGATATATTTGATTGCATTGCTTTCATTGATTGCTCGATCCAGAACCATTTCTTTTTTTCATAACATCATCTACTTGTATTAGTTTTTCAATGGGGATACATGATAATTCTCCACCCCCTACATGTGGTGATCCCCATTGTGGTGTTGGTGTTTTGACCTAAATGAATAATTTATTATGAATATAGAATAACCTACTAATTACACATGCTTTGTTAAAGGCATTAACTAACCTTAGGTTCAGAATTAGCTGCTGCTTTCTCAGCTTCCTTAGCTCTTCTTTCTTTCAATTTTAAGGAAAAAATAGCAACAGATCGAGCTCTTTTCACTAAACTTTGTTTAACACGCAACTTCTTTGCAGCTATTAGAAACACATAAGTATATTAAGCATAACACATTTTTATACAAACAAACTGTTATATAAAATGAAGAACATTTGAAAATATTAATTACTAAAAATTCAAATATGCATTAATTAAAAAAAATATCAATAATTTTAAATTAATGCATATGAAGAAGTGAAATTTGCAAATTTCAGTTTTGAAATATATATAACATATAATTCAACATATATGTTGGATTGTATTTTTTAGAATCAAATATAAAAATATAGCATTTATAATCGATAAAAATCAGTACATACTTATGTTAAATAACACTGACATATATATTATATTTTTAATTCACAGCCACATAAAACTATACATTTATTTTACCTTTTTCAGCTTCTTCAGTGGTTTGCCCAGTTGAGGCAGTTACATTTACTGTATCACCATTTCCTAAAGATGACGGTCCTGGTGTTGGAGCAGAGCCAGTAGGGGTTTTAATACTGGGAACACTGTTGACAACGCGGCTTGGGGAAACGGAGCCGCTACCAGTCCAAGGTGCTGCACGCAATAAGTCAGAATCTGAACTTGCCGCAAGGTCTTGAGGCTTAAATTAGAGCAAAAGTTATTGCATTATTACATACAAAAAAACATATGAAGCGAACAGATATATTTAATATAGCCATTAATATAATATTTGTGTCAAAGAAAATTAACCTTTGGGGTAATGCATTCAGTGCTTCTATGAATATTTCCAGCATCTCCTTTCAATCTTTTAGCCCATTCTGCCCCACCTCCTGGACCAATTGTCAAATGATGACCCAAACTTTCCTATTTTATAGAAATTAAAAAAAAAATTTAATTTTCACTTTACTTTATTTAAAAGCTATTTAATGAGGTTTACCTCAGGTACCCATTCTTTGGACTTTCTAGGCTTAAATGGTGGTATTTCAGCTAATTTGCCTAATTCAATCTTCTGTGGCACAGTGGGCGTTATAGGTGGCGTAGGGTTTGGTGAAATGCTTCTTGAGATAGACACAGTATTATCATCTGATAAAAATAATCTTGTTGTAGAGACAGCCGAAGGCGATCTAGGTGGCGGTTGTAAAATAGTAGAGGGTAGAAGCATGTTGTCATCCTCTTCAGTTGACATAGATTTTACAGAAAACCTGAAAAATTTCAAGTAGAAGGCTACTTATAACATTGTAAAGTAGACAATTTCATTGTACAGCAGTTTTCTTTCACATTCTCTAAATATACACAGAGAGCATTAAAATTAAAATTTATAACAGTAACAAAGCTTTTATTTTCAAGACCTAATGTAAAGTTATTCATATTTAAGGTATAATATTATATATTTGTAACCAACCGTCCAATGAGTTTTTCTTCAAAAATTCTTGACTCCTCCTCATCAATATTAATTTCATCTTCTACTTTACTTTGCTTGCTTTGTGGAGTTTGAGCCGTTGAACCTTGAGATGAATGTGGAGATGATTTCTGAGAACCTGCTGATCCTTTTCTGGCAGCCTCACGTCTCATGTGCTCAGCGCGAGCCATTTCTGCCGCTAGCCAGGCAGGTAACTCAGGCAAAAGCCAAGTCAGTGCAAACCGAAGTCCGAGCATCATGTGCTATAGATTAGAAAAATTTTCATGACATGTTTATGATTTGTAAAAAAGAAAGTACATCAAATGTATATAAATGTTTTCAATAGCAATACCTCTAATACAACAATTAACAGTATTGTTTGAGATGGTGTAAGTCCAGGCATCAATCTCGAGACAGGGCCAGAAAGACCAATTAGTGCACAATTAATTAGAACAGCTAATAAAGCTAACAAACTCATTGAACTTTGCCAGGTTCCTAAGAAGAAATATCAATTAAAAATGGTATTTATATTTAATAATTAATTCATGACATGTTTTCGTACCTATATTTGCAACTCTCTGACCAAATGGTCTTTGATGTACATGGACCAACTTGAAAGCATCTGATCTAATTTCCAATAAATTATTTAGTAGTGCACAAAGAGCAGCAAGAGGAAATGCGCTAGAGAAAAGTACCACATAGCCCATTTGCACCAACATTTCCAAGTGATCATAAAAAGTACCTTCATACTGATCACAAAATACAAATAAAAATATTAGTATGTACTTATGTTTAGAAAAATATTGTAAACTATACTCATCATTCTTACTTTGTACAAAGAACTTTCCAATTCCGCCTGGCCAATAGATCTTAATGGAGTGGTTGGTTTTTCAGAAGTTGTGTCATCAAATTTGGTTTCACTTTTCTCTGCTGTAGGACTGAGCGCCCCCCAAATTTTGAAACTTAATTTTGCTAAGCGCCACTGTTCCATCAAGTAAGGCCATGCTGATTCTCTGAAATTACCAATCACTTGCCTGGCTATCAATAACCCGGCCAATTGCTGAAATTTTTTAATAAAATTTATCAATAGTAATTTATTAAAAATAATTAATTGAATTATTATTTTGAAAAACACCATTACCATAAAACCCAAATATAAAAAAACGTACCTCACGCAATCTTTCCTGATCTTGTAAATAAAATGCAATGTAGAAGAGGGATAAAAAAGAGTTCACAAACTGAAACTAAAAACATTCATCATTGAATAAGAAAAAAATTGTGAATAATATCTCTCATATTTAATAATACAGAAATATAGTGTACGTAAACTATGTTTGAAATATTTTGTAAGAAAATAAAATATAATAATGTAACTATTGAATATACAAACCAAAGCCACTTTAGCTATTAAGTGATTTTCGTATTTCGATTCCAGTCTGTGATTCTCTAAGAAAGCAGCATTAAATAGAAAAATGTTTTCAAATTCAAAGTGTTATGAAGTAATAAACAATTTCAGCTAATTGTTATTCCAAAAAATATATTGCTATATGTGAGTATTCATGCAAATATAATTAATCGATGCCAATAAAAACAGAATTAATAATTTAATACAAATATAATAATTAATTTTTTATCTTAAATGTTTAATATTTCTTTGCATTTGTATTATTTTCATTTTATAATATTGTTTGAGATTGACTTGCTTCACTTGTCATAAGTACTTTATGTATAATTGATAAACATTTCAATTAATGGATTCTCTACATATTAGTATTTAAAATCTATAGATAAATTACCTTGGTCATTTAACCAAACTGCTAGTTTGAAGTAAGCTTCATCCATTAAAGTAATAGCAGCTGCAAGAAAAACTTTTGGCATCACTCCTAAACAACTCCACAATCCTCTATTTGCTACTTGCTTATCCCACCAATCCTAATATAATAAAATGATTCCAAAAATATTGAAATAGTTCGAATTATACAAATCTTATATATATATATATATATATATATATATATATATATATATATATATATATATATATTGTATTAAACATATTTACCTGCAGTTGTAACATTGATATCATAACAGCAAATACTGCACACAAACTTAAAGCAATCAAAGGTCCACTAACAAAAAATCTAAATATATTCCTCTTCCATGCCGGCATGTCAGCTGGTTCAAGTCTACCAGTTACTGGACTTGGTTCAAGTGGCCCCTAAAATTAATTGCAAATATATTATAAATATTTGATAAATTGTAATTATAATGTAATAATACCGTAAACATTGGTCGGGGAGGCTCTAACAGATCAGGAGGAGTGCCTAAGGTACCCCATCGAAATGCAAGTTGTACAGAATATCTTCTCCATGCCTCTAGGTACAATGATGCCCATATGACATTAAATACAGAAAATAATACATAACCTGTAATAAAGTAAAATATTTTATTACTAATAATGAAATGTAAATACATATATTTGAATGAATGTAATTTCATTTTTACCTATATCTTGAACTGTCTGCCCACAATTTAGAAGACCTAGCCAAAGCAATGAGCCTATCAAAGCTGGAACGCACAATGCCATAGTATAATGACCAAGCCATGCAAAGTATAATCCAACTTTAACACCAAAATAACTACAAATATCATCTGAAAATATAATAAAAATTAATAAATATGTTTATAACATATTATTGTATATAATATACCTAAAGGCTGTGGTGCTAATACATCTCTAACCCATGTTGCTTGCAGTTTTCCTAAAGCTTGCGCTTCATGCAAGGGATAAACTTGTGAAATTATTCCTGCCATTTGCCAACCAGCCACTATTAAAAATAAGTTGAATATTAATAAGTATTTTGCTAACAATTTATTAAAACTATGTACATACATATGGCTTGCCCTTCTGGCAAAATTGTTCCGTTAGCATAATTTTCATCTTTAGAACCTACACGCAATGCTTGAAGAATTTGCAATACTAACCATTGCCTTTCTTGTGATGTAAATAATGAATCTCCACACTAAAAATAAAATATTAGTTAGAATAATTATATATAAGGTGCTTATAAAAGTTGAAACAAATAAAATAAAGTAATGAAAGCTGAAAAAATATAGTATTTACTTCTCACAATACACATTTTATTAAAATTAAAGCTAAAATTTTACAATATTGTAGCAAGAATCATTATATGCATCTCATTTAACTTACTTTTTGGAAACAATTAACTTCTCTGGTTGAAAATTCCCTTAATCCACTACCGAGTTCAGGCTTCAGAGCTTTTGGAAGTCGACTTTCTTCTGCAGCTTGTAATAAACTATTAAAATGAAAAATTTAGTATTATCCAAGATGCTTTTAAATACAATGCATTAATTATTTTGTTGACCACAAAATCACAGATACTGACACTTGATTTGATGCACTAATATAAAATGCTGTACATTGTGTAGAATCATGTTTCCTAACATGAACAGTCAAAGATGGACCCGGATTTGGAGCCCTTAGTCTACTAAGCAGCCAAAGAAGAGCTTCATCCGGGGCAGTAGGTGAGAACTCAATCACTACATCACATTGCTATAATAAATGTATCATGAAGCTAATTTAAATATAATATAAATAATTATGCAAATATTACCTGTGTAGGTATTTTATTTAACCATAAACGTCTTGGTGTCATCAAATAGCCTGTGCAAGGCACACGACGTCTAAGTAATCTTGAAGCTGGAGAAAATAACATTTTCAATTAATTCTTATTTTTCGCAGCATTTTCATAATAAAGATTACATCAAAGAAAGCAAAATAGTAGTGTTAAAGCTTATATACAAACCATTTTCGAAAGTTTCTTTTGCACAAGAAATAATCTTCTGTTTACCACCAACTACATTTAAATCAGTTGCCTCAGTACTTAGCAAATCATCATCAACATTTTGGTATCCGTTATCATTGTTAATTTCCATAATAAAAATAACCAATATAGATTAAAACTGTTTATAGACTTTGAGTTGCGGACTTTTTCAGTAAACTACTGCTCTTCAATAATAGTATAACAAATCATACACTTAATTGGTGAAAGAATTGGCTTGTAAATGCAGTACTAGATACCATGTTATGCATTATTATGTAAATCTATCAGCGATGTAAATATTTTGTACAAGTGACAGTACGAGAACTGAAACGTAGGGCCATCTGAAGTTTATTGGTAATAACACTTTTATGCGGCAAATTTGAAATGAAAATTTTGAATACGCTTGACATTTACAATATCAAATATACATATAAATAAATACTAAAGCTTGAGGGATTTTAGAATAAATGAAGATTATATTTAATAATTGTGAATAGATTTTGTAAACAACAATTGTGTCACTTTGAAATAAAGAAATCAACATTGATTTACAATTTATTATTAATTAAAAATTAATATTTTGTTCTTATTGATTTATATTAATGTTTTTCTTATAATATATAATTAAATATTTATATTTTTCCAGTCATACAATCAAATTAATCAATTTTATTAATGTTATAGGATCATCAGATTGCACCACTGAGTTCTAATAATTTAAAGCGTGTTAGATATAAATTTATATTTCTTAATCAGATTCTGATAATTGTAAATCTTCATCCAGAATGTTATTAGGAGTACTGAGTTGTCCATTAGATGCTTTGGCAGGGCTGTCAGATGCATCACTATCACTGTCGCTATCAGAACTATCTGAACTTGATGATGATGAAGATGAGGTGGATATGACGCCAACAGCATCATCAGTTGAGGCAGTTGTATTACTTACAGGCATTGTTGTATTGTTATTAGGTAATACTGGAGATGAGTTCACATTTGGTTCCACATCATCAAAACCAATCATTGGAAGACTTGCTAAGTTGGACTGATTATGAGAAGCATTCCATTGTGCAGCAACAGGATATGTTGGAGAACCCTGAATTGGTGAATGTTTTGGAAAAGTAGAAATAGCAGTTTTTCTAATACCACTAGTTACTTTGGTTTTTGAAGATTGCCTTTGTGTTGAATTTTCTAATTTAAAACTGCTACTCGCTGCTGGAGGTGGGGCCTTGTATCCATTCTCAGAGCGAGTCTTTTTAACTTGCAAATTATTGCTTAATTTCTCTATTGTAATTTCGCCAGTAGTTTTATTTACAATAAGTACACACTCTTTAGTGTATTTTTTTTGATTGCCTTAAAAACTGTTTGCAAAGTACCAGCCCATCCAAATGTGGTACTGTAACAGTAACTTGATTATTTTGTCCAATATCTACAGTTGCCATTTTTGATTCATCAACACTAGCTGGCTTAAAATCATACTTAAGAGTGTGAAATGAAGCATTTCTTGGGTTGGAAAATGTAGTCCCAAGTTTCAGCTCCCGCATATTATTTAATTTCATACGATCAGCCATTTTTAATTCAATTTTTTTCATAAAACTTTCTACATGTAATACTAATTAAACATATGTTCCATCATTGGTGCTTCTGTGAGATAAACTAACTTGCACCGAGATAAAGTCTTTATGAAAAATATAAAGCATGCACTTAGCAATATATTATAGTTCATTAGTAAAATATAAATCAACACGATGATCGTAAATATCTCGATCACAGGTGCTATCAGAATCACCTTCAAATAATCGTAAGCAATCAAATGTTGGCAACCCGACACTAGTACACGAATTACCACATAAAGGTGACAGGAGCGATGGTGACAGTTGTCCGTAGAGAGCTCTTTCCAAATAGACTAACAATGCTGTGGTTTTGCAATACATACAGTACTAAATGACTTTTTGTAACTTATGGCAATACAGAACCAACATCGACCTCGACAATGACAATATCTTTTTACTGAATTTTTAATACTTTGCGTCAAATTTATTTTTGTGTGATTTAATAAATTCTAGTGAACTGTTCATTGCTAAATATCACATAGAAATGTCTATAAATAACGATAAAACTAATTTGGATTTGTTGGAAGAAGACGACGAGTTTGAGGAGTTTCCTTGCGACGGTAATTCAATATTTCTTGGTTATTATTTAAGCTTTACAAGTGAAGCTTTTAGCGGCCCTCTTTATTTATTGTAAGTTAACACTATTTAATTATCTAGATTGGGCATCACACGACGAAGATGCAGATGATGTTACAGTTTGGGAAGATAATTGGGATGATGATAATGTTAAAGATGACTTCAGCCAGCAATTAAGGTTATTATAATTGATTATTTTGTCAATAGAGATTTTATTACATTTTCTTACATTAGTTTTATTTCAGGTCTCAAATGAGCAATCCTAAAGAGGCATCTAAAAAAAGTTAAGACTATGTATATATTAGAATATAATGTAATTTCAAAAAACATAATTAATAAACTGATTTTTTAAATATAAAATGTATTTTTTTCATTTTGTAACAATAAAAGTGTGATACTATGATTCATTGCAGTTACTTTCTAAATCTTCAAATCTATCAGTGTCAGGTTTGCACCTATTGCACAGGCAAGAAGAGTTTGTATATTTTTTTCCTCAGCAGCATTGAAAACATAGCCATTCACCTGCAAGTAAGTATATTGCATTACCTTGCAGCACATTCAAAAATTGTGTTAAAATAATACTACAACAGTAACCTGTAGTTTGAAATTATTTATAAAATTTTCTTTACTATATTATAAAATACCTTAAAATAAAATTACCTTATCTATTACATTTTTAAGTTTGATGATGCTCTCATTATTATTTACATTTAATAATTGAAATGATACCAAACTGTAATCTTCAATTAATGATATCATAGCAGCATTTAATTTAGAGTACTTTGAAGTTTCTGGGTCATCTTGCAAAGATTCTAATAGCTGTTGCAAATCTAACACCTCCGTATAAAAATCTACATTGAATAACAAATTTGACTCATGTTGATGCAGCAAATCAGCCTGCAAATAAAAAAATCTGAATACAACAGATTTACTTCAATACAATAACATGGATTCGAAAAATTTACTGTTGGCTAAAATATTATATTTGTAAAACTTACCTTGCTGAGAACATTTACATGAGGGAGGCCAATTTGTAGCATAACACTTAAAGACATGAGGAGAGCAGAAATAAATTTTGAGGGCTCAGAACAATAATGAGAATCAACTAAATGAACAGCACATAAATGATAATTCCTAGTTGCTAACTTGGCAAAAATTTCTCGCACCGATGAATGATGTGTATACAATTCAATCTGTAAAGTCAAAACATTTTACATACAAAGTTGACAACATAAAACTATAAAAAGCATCAACACAGTAAAATAAGGATCGTAAATGTAAAAACAATATTAATAAAGAGAATAATATTAATTATTGAAAAACACATAGGAAGAATTGAAGATCAATCCAATTACTTACCTGTCCAGGACAATCAAAAATAAAATATTTATTCTCTTGAGCATCTAACTTTTTGAACAACCATTCATAATTTTTTTCTAGATATTCCATACAATACATCAAAGCACCATTAGGACCAAGTTGCAAATGGTCCATTACGTCTTGAACCTTTATTAATTCCATAATATCCACATCAGGTTTATAGAACATGTTATCATTAGCTGGATCAAGATTGACCAGTGTAACTTTACGATTGATTTTTTTGAAAAACATATTCATTTTATCACAATAAGTTGACTTTCCTGAGCCTGGTGGTCCAATTACTAATTGTCCATAAATAGATTTTGTAATCTTGACACGTTTTTGCAAAGGTTGCAGATCCATTTTTTTTTTGTTTTTTTTTTCAATTGTTTATTAAATTTGTAAGTGTAATTCTAATTCCTTGTAAGGTTTCCCTAGAATGATCTTTTAAGGCAGAAAAGAATAATATTTGTTTTTCTGTTGGAAAAACTTCTGTTATATACCTTGCAGCTAAATACTCATTTTCATTTGATCCAAATAATGTGTTAATATCATATGTGTACTGATGATCACTGGTAGATGTATTTGACGTTTTCTGAATAGAAATTAAAGATCCGATTCGTTTGTATTGTGTAACAATTAAAAATATTTTATTCACGAATTCTACAAACACAATATCTGTGTGGTTGTTATTAATAATAGCGCCAATTGACTTGAAAATAGTATTCTTTTCAATGCTTTCTTTGATTGCAGTACTTAATACATCAGACACATCCATTGCAAAAACTAATTAGTATAATTTAAATTTTAGTGCATGATTTGCAAGCCCATAATACCTATTAACTAACTTTTCATATTATTTTCAAAACCTTCGCAAAATTAGAAAATGACAAACAATAATTTATGGTGTTATCAACTAAGAAAAAAAATCGTTAAGAAACGTCAAGAAGCCGTTAGAGTGCGAACGGATTTTTATAACTTGACAGTTGCTATGAAAAATTCAAGATAATATTTATATTCAAGATAATTACAATTTGATATAATTCTTATTTTAGATACTAATTACATGACTATAAATATATTTCTTGAAAAGCAGATTTAATTCAAAGTGTTGTTTTAAATATTATCATTAGCATTATTTTTATTAATGTATTTACTACTGCAATAACAAGATAATTTTTTGTATAAACAAGATTATATATTATATATATTAGAATTATATATACTCTTCTTTATCTATGCAAGATTATATTCAACTATGTGAAATAGGATTGGGAAAAAGGGTTGTATTTCTAAACTTTCGATGGCTGCATTTGTTGCTGTTCATTGTGGTTAGTTACCATATACATTATTTAGGAAATATATATCAAAGAAAAATTATTTAATTACAGGAGCCGGATTTCACTCTAAAGAGAAATCTAGCGCATACAAATCTTTATGTAAAGAGGTACTGTTAAATTATCATAAATATATAAATATAGATGATATATAAAAGCACTTTCAAATTCAGGCATGTTTAGAGTCTTTGAATCATTATGCTTCATCAAAAGATGCTCTAATTGCTGTGACAATGGCTGTTCGAGTACTTGAAAATAGTTCATTAACGAATGCTGGATATGGTTCTAATTTGTCTTGGGAAGGAAAAATAGAATGTGATGCATCAATAATGTGCGGTAATACTCTTCATTTTGGAGCTTGTGGTGCGGTTACTTGTTTGAAAAACCCAATAGATTTAGCATCGATAATTTGTAGGAAACAAAGTGAAAAATTAGCACTGGGCAGGATTCCCCCGTGCCTTCTAGTGGGACCAGGTTGATTTCAGCCCATATGTGATATGACAGATTGTAGTTAGTATTTTCCAAGTATCAAAAGCAAAAATTTGCAGGTGCTGAACAATGGGCTACACATGTTGGCATACCTCATATCAATCCAAATACATTGATATCAGAAGATGCCAAAAATCATTATAAGAAATTGAAACACAAACAATCTTTATATGAATCTTTGATAGGAAATGAGATAAGCCCTTTAGATACAGTTGGTGCAATTTTTGTAGATGCAGATGGTTTTTGTACAGCAGCGTGTAGTTCTGGCGGGATTGCATTAAAAAGTTTGGGAAGAATTGGTATGGCCAAAAGGCATTTATTACATTTATTCCTGGGATAAAGCAAATAGCACCTGGAAAAATAATTATTCAAATATGTAACCTTTTCTTTTTTCATGAAACATTCTTAATGGAATTGTAGCATTATTCAAATTGTTCTTTACAGGTCAAGCCGCTTCTTACGCTTGTGGGTGTTGGTCTGAAATTTCAAATAATCAATCATATGCAACAAGCACGACTGGTTGTGGAGAGCAACTGATGAAAACTTTGCTTGCAAAAACTGTAGTGGATGGCTTAAAAGATTGTGATTGCCCTGCAACTTCTTTAAATAATACATTGCAAGTTAATTTTATAGAATCGCAGGTTGTGCATATATTTGAGATTAATCACATAACTTTATTGTGAAATACTCACTACAAATCACACCCTTAGATGCTGAATGATTATGAAGAGAAACAAGCCGGAGTAATAGCTCTTAAATATTGTTCACTCAAAGGAACAGGAGAAATCATTTGGGGGCACACAACATCATCCTTATGTATTGGATATGCTTATTCACATCCTTATACCAAATTTAAAAGTATAATTTCTAGAAAACATGCACAAGAACAAACAGTCGTAGGTGGGACATCATTTGTTTTAAAGTCTGCTCCAGAATTAGACTCCTCTGAAAATGAATCTTCATGAAAGTATGTGATAATAAATATTGATTTATAATATTCATATATTTACACAGTTTCTTGTAACACATACTATACAATTAGATTTTTTGATTTCTTAAGAATTATCTTAATAAACACATCTTGTGAAAAGCTTAATATTATAATATAATAAATTTTAATTCAATAAAACAAATGACCAGCACTTCAACTGTTTTACAATTATTTGTAGCAAAAGACTTTTCGACAAAATGTTTTGATTATTTGAAAAATGGCAAATGTGATCTATTTGATTAGACATTCAATAGATGCTTTCCTTAGAACTTTATGATTATGTAATACACATAAAATCTACATATCCTAACATTTTTGATTTTAATTTTTATAGCACAAACTATCTTTGTTATATAATATCATTCAAAACATTCAATGGCTTAGCATTGAATATAATATATATTAGTAAACTAGCACATTTAACATTAATATAAAACATATGTACACAATTTTTAGGGTTTTTGGTAAATCAACACAATCAAGAATCAAATTAACATACAATTAAAATCATACCTTTTAAACTTGATCCTTCAATAAAATGTGAGGAGCATTGATTTTTCATACTTGGAATATTAGCATAGATAATTAACAATTTAAATTAAAATACTTCAATGCCCATGTTGAACTAAAATCAGATATGATACATTTCCATGAATGTATAAAACATGCTATTTAATATTAGTACGAAACATTTTGATTTCAACATAGTTATAAAAATAATATATATTATATCTGAAAACATAATTCTTTTGTCACAGCAGCTATACCTGAATTAATCGACACAAAAAATGGTCAATACTACAGTAATGCTCACAAAATGGAAAAATTTAAGCTTCGATATTATAAGATTGATTGATCTAGACCAGTTCAGCTGATACTAAAGGAAAAATGAAATACATTTTGAATTGTGTTGAAAATTGAAACTGATATGTTGATCAATTTGGCTCTAAAAATACAGATCATAAACTATGCCATTTTAAGAATATTTTATGTTCAAATCATACTGTTATTTTTTTACACTTTAAATATATTTGACTAACATATAAGAACAAGATACTGAATCTACTAGGATAGCTTAACAAACTAATTCTAAAAATAAAGGAATGCATAGAAAGACTAGAAAAATGTCAAAATATACAAGTTATATGTAATGCTAATGTATCCTTATGCATTATGATTTCATTTAAAACATAGTGCATAACATGTTATTTGTTAAATCAAACATAATTAAATAATAATGAATTAAAATTAAATAATCAATAAATTAAAATATAATTATATAATTAATACAGATTGATAACTAATCATACACAATTTCTTGGAATATATAATCACATAAAGAAAACAAATGTTAAAATATTTCTACAATATTTTATCGTTATTGTCCGTGAAACGACTAATTTAAACTTGAATTTAGTTCAAAACAAAATTTCTCAAACATCTGTAAGTTTGCAATTATATAAACTTTTCTAAAATATGGGAAGTACCAAGTAATTCTACAAATATCTTGATAACTAGATGTTCACAAAATATGTACAAGAAGTATAAAATTCAATAACAAGAATTTGCATATTTTCATGCAATCATCTCTCTTAACATTAAAGAAACACACATACACACAGCAATATATATATATATATATATATATATATATATATATATACTATCATAAAAATATATATATGACAATAGCTGAATGCATGGTAATTGACTGCCATATTTTATATTTTTACAAATACCATTTGTTGGAATAACATGTTGTTAACAAATAAACAAGATTGCAATTTTATGTTAAATTAGGGTATGCTTGTATACTCTTTTATCTCATTTAAGAATGCTCTGATACATTTTGTTTCAAATCATTCTTATAGTCATAAACCTAAAGCATAAATTTTCAATATTTCTTCAGTTGCAACGATAATGTTTGATCTGAAAAAACTCATTGACATTCACTTAATATTGAAGAAAAACTTGCACAGCCATAAAAATATTTATGAAAGATATTGTAAAAATTCAATATCATTTAATATATTTTTTCCACAACTTGATTTGGCTTGTTAGGCATGAATAATATCTTTTCAATAATAATAAATGAAAAATCTATGCCCATTTGTATTAAGTAGAAAACCAGTCATACCATTACAATTATTTGTTAATTCACGAGATCACAACACCTAGCATTGAATTAAGCTTTTGAACGTCTTAGATATCACCAATGATAAATATGAAAAAAGGGCCTTATTAAAAAATGAAAATTTATATAATTCACATTTGCTTCGCACTTACAGAAACACACAGATACATACACACACAAATATATATATATATATATATATATATATATAATATGAACTAAATAAGAGTATAAAAAATATGTGTACCTGCTTCTTTAAAGTCTGACAAAACGATGAAAGATAGATAACAGAAAATTGCAATTACTTTTCCAGCGTAATACAATCATATTTTTGCATCATCACCAACATGTAGTTCTCACTATTCAGGCAACGCCCGTACAAATGATATTGGAAACATGCCCCGTCTGTGGGGATGATGCTCTATGTGACCCTCCGCCCAGTTGTCGTCTTCAGTACAATCTCTTAAAACAATTATTATTTCTCCTTCTCGAAATGATAGTTCATCCTCATTGTCCGCTTGACAATCATATAGGGCCCGACAGCGCTTTTTAGGTGGAGACTGTACAAAAAAAATTGAAATGATGGAAATCATCTTTATATAAAGTCATGTGAAAATTATTCCTTGTAAGTAAATGAGTAAACTATTTGTGAATTTATTCAAAATTCTTCAAAAACTTACCCCTTGATGCCCCGGTGAACCATCACTACTTCTGGACATATCCATTTGTCTTAGACCTAAATTATCAGATAGACCAGAATCATTGAGTAAGCCTGAAAGGTTAAGGCTAGCGCCAGTGCTATTAGGACTTATGGAACTCGTATCAAATTTATTCTCGGTAGCAGATGGGGAGTGACTCGCACCCGAACTGTTAGTATCACATTTTTCAGAAGCCTAAAGAAATTGTAATTAAATGTAAAATTATGCAATATACTATATATTTAATTATTTATAGAGTGCCTAGTTCATTGTCATCAGATACTAAATAAATAAGCAACATTTAGTTCACCTTTTTCATTGCAGGTTCACTGCACATAGATGATATACTTTCTGTGGATCTTCCATTTGATAAAGATCTTGTATCACTAGAGCCATGTGGTGTAGGCGGCGGTGGCATTCTCGGCCTTAAAACGCTACTAGATTGGGATTGGGATTTATCTAAACCTTTTAGAAGACCGATGGGTACATCAATTGGCAGAACCTGCTTGGCTCCAGCTGAAAAAATGTATGTAGGTAAATATATTTCAAATGTATTTCCACACATATTACAGGTAACAACATTTTTACCTAGCATAGCTCCTCTAGAACTAGCATCGGCGGACGGCGTCCTCCTATGACCAGCAATAGTATGGTAACCAGCGATCTGACCACCTGTTTGTGATGGTTGATTTTGCTGTTGCTGAACATGGTGATTTTGGTACTGAGTTCCATGTGGCAAAGTTCCATAAATATTGACAACAGACGTTGTCACACAACTGGCAGATGAATTGGCAGTACCTTGGGGAGGCAATGGAGCCGTTCGCTTTTTCAAATTGCTACTGATTGACATTGCAGAAGATGAAAGATGACGGGGCGGTGAATGCATTGTAGCTGTGGAGGTATTTTATGAAAATAATTAATTACAAATAGATTTTTAATGAAAATATATCGACTTTCTCACATACCGCCAACAGACTTTCTTGCTTGTGGTACTGGTATCGGTACCGAATTTCTAGATTGTGATCCAGGGCTACAGCCACCTTGTAGCGAATCACAAGTAGATGATCTTGATCTTAATACCGGAGAATCGCCACCTGCATAACTTCCAGGCCTCGATCTGGACCGTTTCTCTGGTGTTACTGAACCATTCTATAATACAATATTTAATTTTAAACTTTATGATAAATGTTCTCTATAAAGACAAATCTATATAATATCTATAAATCTATCAAATTCTTTTAAGCCCAACAAATACGAAGACATATTTTTTTTTTCATATTCACTAGTTTATAAAAAATTTATTAACCAAAATTAAACAAATTATTATAATATATGTATAAACTTACCCTTTCATCAATTATTGTATCGTCATCAGAAAAGTCTGTAGAACCATCGTCATGTGAAAGATTCCAATCTATATTCACATTATCAAAAAGACCTTTATATCGCTGTGACGCGTGCTCTAACTAAAAGAGAAATATTCAAAAAATCTTTAGAAATGCAAAAAATGCAATTGGCAGTTAAAACTATAAATAAGTTCTATTCTATTACTGACCAATTCCTTACAGACATGATGGCCCATCTCATTGGCTACATCGGCGGAAGTTCTACCTTTGGAATCTTTTAATGTAGCGTCAGCTCCTGATCTTAATAATAATTTGATACATTCTGGTCGATCGTGTAATGCACATAAATGCAGTGCCGTCATATTATCTTGACCACAAGTCCGATCCAAACCATTGGCTGGCATGTTCTGAACGAGAAAATCAACGAGAGGTAATGATCGCGAATCGTTCTCGCTACGCACGACTGCCAAGTGTAGAGCTGTACAAGAAGACTGACTATCGTCCTGTAAAGCAATTAATAAACTATATATAAATATTTCGTTTTTTAAATTGGTTAATAAGTATTCAATTGCATGTTATTAAAATGTAGATACCGAACAAGGCAGTGGTGCGCCTAAGTCGGCTCCTTCGGCCCAGGCTTGTAAGAGTTGTCCAAGATCACAGTTGTTTATTGAATGCTCCAACTCATTAGCTTTATCAATATCATCGCAACAAGTTCGCACAACCCAACGCCTACTAAGATATTTGGCCCTTATAAAATTATACCGCTCTTCCCTAAATAATAATAAAGACAAATTAAAATTGAAATGTTGTTGACAATACTCAAAATTAAAATTGCTTACATAGTACTGGAAGCATTTGGTTTATGTGATAGAGATAACGTAGCCTCTAAAATATCATTAAGTGCTTGATTGCTCATGAATCTGGCCAATATAAGCTGACTAGTGCCCAAATTATCGAGAGTAAGTGATTGAATACGACTTATATGTACGCCAAGATCTCTATGTACTCCAGAACACTCTATACAGACTATTATACCAAAATTGGTTGAAAGCCAAGTGGGATCTAAAATAAAAACAACAAGAAGAATAAGTATTAATTACTTAATTTGAAAATTTACATTTTTAATATATTATTTATAAAAAATCTGCATACCATTTGTAGAGTTACAGTCACAACATCTATCATTCCCCGGAAGTCTCTGCACATATCTAATGATAGTTTGCTGCAATTCGACCAGAGAGGGATTTCCAGCGCTTTGAGGCTCCTGGAACGCTCTTGACAGAGCCATTTCTTTGCAATTAACTAAAACAGAAAGCCAGGCGTTTCGATCCTGTTCATCTTCCGCTTGAAAATGGTATGTTCGGTTATCTGAAAAAAATATATATATATTAAAGTACAAATAGTATGCAGGTCGTAAAAATTATATATAAATCAAATTAATATCGATTAACATTTACATGAAATCAAATCAAAGCTTCGTTTATCATCTGGAACTGGTTTTATTTGGCATGTGAGTAGATTAACTCTAGTAGGTGGTTTAGATTCCGACGCGTGAAATATATCTAAAAGACCGTCTGCCTGTACAAGACACCTTCGCTTTTGCCATACTCTTCGAACCTATAATATAAATATCGATACACAATAATATATTTTATAATTTAATATTATAATCTGAATCTTATATTATTTAATATCTAATACCTTTCCCTCAGACTTTTTGAGTAAATGACCGGACTTTGTCCATCCAAGATTTTTATCTCCTTGTAATTGATGTAGTGAATATAAACCACGTTCTTCTTTCTATTTGTATAAAAAATAATTGATTAATACTAAAATAGCAAAAAAGTTGGCGGTGTTCAGAATATAAATAAGTTATACATGACATTGTTAAATTGCTAAGATAAAATAACAATAATTATTAGTAGCATGGTAAAAAATAGAATAAATTTTCTTTTTACCTCTCTATCTAATCCCGGAGCACTTTTTAGTAATGCTCTCAACTCCAAAAGCCTTCGTCTCTCTTCGTCCTGTTTTTGCCTAATTCTCTGCAAATTCCCACTCAAATCAGATATGTAACTTCCGAAATGTTCTATTGTCTTTAAGCCATCTTGAAAATAACTAAAAATGCAACAAATGGTAATTATTTAAAAGAACTAGAGCTAAGATTTCTTAAAACTTATTTTCAAACAGAAACAAATAAATTAAATTAAATGAAGTAATCGCCACTCACTTGGTTTGCGCATGGTAGTACTCTACTAGATGCTGCAATAGTTCAATGCTCTTTTTCGTTTTTATTTCGTTGAATTTTATAAGATACTAAAACAAAAATCATTTTATTATTAACGTATTAGTAACCATTTCACACATATTTAATTAATATTTGCTAAGAATGTTGTTTAAATGACATTTAATAAGCGATTTTTACCTCACACATTTGCAATTGAAAAAGTCTGCGCTCTTTTTCTGTTTCGTCTGCAACTTCGGCGCTTCCTACTTCTTGCCTGATTAGACCTGCTTCTCTGGCAGCGGCTCGTTTTTCTTTTTCCAGTTTTCCATAACGAAGATCATAGTCTTTAAGAGCCTTATCACAAGGCCGCCTTAACTCACCAGTTCCACGTAATTCACCCTTAAGTAAAGCTTCTACAGGTTGCATGACAATTGTATTCACCTTTTGCATCTAAAAAGGCAATTTTCTTAAATTTCCTCGTTCGAATTATAATAAATACACGTTCATATATGTCATACGTATGTTATGATGTAATTAGAAGTACATACAGGGGCGTAACTACCGCCGTATCATCCGTATCAAAAATACGGGGCGCCCGAGCCAAGGGGGCCCCCAACGAGCGCTAGCAGAAAGCAAAACTACAATTTTTCAACAAAAAAATAATTTTAACGTACTTTGCATTTCCCTTTTTTACCGAGACTCGTTCAACTTGTAAGCTAACGCTTTAAGAGAATTTATTTCTGCAAGCTCTAGCAATCAATTCAATTAGTAAAGCTTTTCCACATTCGATAAGTTAACAAATCTATAATACTAATTCAGATTTTACATTCCTTATCGAAAATTGGAACTTGGAATTTTTATAGTTATATTTATATCGTTTTTTGTTTGTGGTTGTTCCTACTTAAATTGTCTGCATGACGCGTCAGTTTAATAATTAGATTTTGATAAATATGATCTACTAAATCATTTTCAGATTTCTTTCTGCACTGTTAAAAAATAGAAGTTTCTGTTCTGAAACTTTACAACACGCAAGTAATGACTTACAAAAAACTAGTATTTTATTAAGTAATCTTTTGAATATACTGTGCGAATTAAGATATGAAAATTTATTGAAATAGTTTGTTGAAGTACAAATAATTTGCAAAAAGATGGATTGCAATAACTATTTTAAAGAACAAAATACAAAAGATGAAGAAGCGTTATTATCACAAGATGAGAGAATTTTAGACCCAAAATCTTATTTTAATGTATACTATTGCTGTTTGGATATATTAATTTCACAAACCAAACAAATATTTCAAAACCTTTGCGACGTAAGTAGTAACATTTGTCTTTTTGAAATCGAGAATTAATAAACGTTTCCGGAAAACTGTCGACTGAATTACTGTAAGGAAATATTGTAAAATATCTCATATGATCATGACCCATTGATAGTTCTAGAAATAAGTTTTAATACAAAAATCTTAGAAATTTATTTCATTAAGGTACAATGATGGATGCAATAGGCTTGCATCCAGTTTTCTCAACGAAATAACAGTATGCATTTTTTCTAGGCCCTTAATTACAATTTACAGTTAAAATCGCAACTGCTTAAAAAAAATTAAAATTAAAACTAATTAACAATTACGTAAATACTTGAAGACAGAAATGTCTACCAGACCTGTATGTTCCTAGAGACAGAAACTTTATAAAATTTAAAGATCACTAAGTAAGTCAGTTTTTTCAAAAAAAAGGCAAGGAGAGTGAAAAAATATCTGGAATCATTTGTGAAATATTCCGAAAATTAGAGAAAATTAGATAGATAAATAATTAAAATAATAAGTAAATATTGTTTTAATACTATGTATTTCGATATTTTGTAAAAAAAATTTTCTTCTTGAAGGGGCCTCCAAACAAATTTTGATACGGGGACCCGCCAAAGCACGCTACGCCCCTGAGTGCATATAAACTATTATGCGCATATTATTATGCTGATAAAATCTATATGATTATATAAGTAAATTATTATTTTTATCATATTAAATTAAATAACAAATGACTAACCAGTGTTTTCATCAGTTGGGACAATTCTTTGGTGACTACAGCAAATTTGAAAAAAGCTGCTCCAATATCCGGTTCCGGATCTTTATTCATAGCGTTTCCGGCCAGACGTTCCAGTGTGTGTGATAGATACATTTCGTTGTCAACGTGCGCTGTAAATTCATAGAAATGAAAAAGCAATATTATTTTGTAATTGGTAATGCTAAGAGTAGATAAATAACTACTGCATATTTGATAAAATTCAATTATATTTCTTTATTTCAATATAGTTCGTTTAAATTGCTTTTGGAGCGAAACAAGATTTTTCCATTGTAAGAATTATCGCTCGTGCCTACATTGTAAATAAACTCAAGACACAATTACTCATATCCGATTACACATCTTGCATAAAATTATATTCGTTCGCTATTGTAATTATTCATTAGAAAGCTAAAAGATCCGTTGAAGATGTTGACAGGTTCTACCAGTATTTCTTTTCGGTTGACTCATTTTATTTGTTTTGTATTTTTATTGAAAACTACATGGGAAAATTGACAACTCATACAAGCCGCAATAAGTGTAGAATTACGCTTCGACAAATAATGTTATTAAAATATGAAAAGTATGGATAGATTCTAATGTCTTTCACTGATATGGATGAATTACAGTGAATTTTTGCATAATTTTCTTCATGGTGACATCCACTAAAAAAGAGGCACTGAGTAACAGTACAAATTATTTCATTTTTTGGTTTGCAATTATTAGTTTAGTTTTTATCTGTTTTTTTTTATATGAACTATATAATATAGTAAAGCATCATGAATTATCGCTTATATATATTGATAAAAGCATAAAATATATGAATGATACATTCATAAATATAATATATAAATCACTATAATAATAGTAAAAATGTCGAACAGGAGAATTTTACCATGACCATTTAAAACTGAAATCAACCAGGAAGCTGGTGCTCCTCAATCAGATCTATATACCAAAATCATTACATAACATTCATATACAGCTGCTTTATATCATCGCACATGTTTAGTGGGCGTTTTAATCAAAATCCATTATATTCTACGTCCGACTAATATGAGTGTTCGTTCCCATTAAGTGCTATTAGCAACCTATAGATAGATAGCATAGGTGAAGGTATAAAGCTGATTTACAAACTAGAGCCACATATTTAACATCCCCCTGGTTAAGAGAATTATATAATAATATTGATAATGATAAGTAGTAATCATTATATTAATTATGAATTTTTACTGTAGATACATACACAAATATAAGATAATCAAGTTCACATTTAAGATAAGCAAATATTAAAAAATAAAAATGAAAAAAAAAATAGTTTCTGCAAAATATTGTAAGGAAACAAAACAGCATTTGATAGTATATTTTGTCAGATACAAGAGCTTTATCCATCATCATAAAATTAAAATTCGTTCGAACAGAATTGCAACACCAACTTAGATTCCATTAATCACGTGAGGTTTTTATGGGGGGGGGGGTGATTTGACAAAAAATCATGAAATCATGAGTTGACAAAAATCATGAAATATCACGTGGGGGAGGGAGGGGTGTATTTATTTTTACCTGTATTTTTAAAAAATCCCAAAAATTTACAGCAATAAAATCAAAAATGTTACAATTTTTAATACAATTTTGAATTTCACCATGTATTAACAAGAGGGAGGGCGGTTCAAAAATCCTTAAAAAATCGATCAGGTGATTAATGGTCAGCCCCTTAAATCAATTAAAACGACTTAAAAGACTTAAAAAAATGGCCAATAGAACCACTTGAGTTGTCTTTTTTAGGCAAGTCACTCACTGTAGGCAGTTCGTCATATATGGTTTATTTTTATTACTTCATTTATGAGTATGATTTTTCATTTTATTATTGTTGCAGAAAATCGTAGTAGAATAGCTTATAGAGCTGCATTTAATTTTAAGTACTATTTAACAAATAATCTTTGAAAAATAATAATCTTATACATAATTTTAGAATAAATTTTCTGGGAAAATCTCACTATTAATCCTTTTGCTTCATATTTAATACTTTATTAATGAGTTCTTATATTACATTTAATTTAGAATTAACATTAACTTAGTATTGTGCAATATTATAATTAGGTAGTGGTAGCATTAAATTATATTATGCATTATTATAATTGTATTTTTAAGTCCATTGACCTTTCGCTCTGTAGGTCATGTAATAAAATAAATAAATACATTATCTAGAATAATATTCGATTAGTATTATCATTGAAAACATATGACCATAAATATTTTTTTGAATAATTCTCATATTGGATTTGAATATATATACACACACACACATACATATAAATATATATATATATATATTGAATGGTAGAGTCTTGGATTTGTGTATATTTTGTAGAGTTTCGAACAAGAATCCAAAAATAATACAAAATAAAAAAAACAAGAAAAGTTTTTAATAAACAATTTCTTTATTTAATTATTTGTTTACTGTCAACGTTTCGGAACTAGGTACGTTCCATCTTCAGGACATCTGTCAAGAAACATGATCTTGATGAGATTTAAGCAAACAATATGTTTAGGAATAGAAAATAGATTTTTCTTAAATAATAAATTAATTGTAACAAGTAATAATGTACAGAAATATGATAATATGATCAAAAAGAAAATGATAAAAATAAATGAGTGGATTATCAGAATTCAGATCATGAGTGAATTATTCAGAATTCAGAGATTATCAGTGGATTCGGCGGAAAAATAACTCACAAATTCATTTTTTGTCAAAAATGCTTGTTTAGTGAAAAAGTGCTAACGTATATTCAAACATACAGGTAATTAATTCAATTTTATCATTAATCCTTTCTTAAAAAAATTTTCCATAACTTTCAAAAAATTTCTATCATTTTTAATATCCTGTTCTGATAATCCACTCATTTTATCATTTTCTTTTTGATCATATTATCATATTTCTGTACATTATTACTTGTTACAATTAATTTATTATTTAAGAAAAATCTATTTTCTATTCCTAAACATATTGTTTGCTTAAATCTCATCAAGATCATGTTTCTTGACAGATGTCCTGAAGATGGAACGTACCTAGTTCCGAAACGTTGACAGTAAACAAATAATTAAATAAAGAAATTGTTTATTAAAAACTTTTCTTGTTTTTTTATTTTGTATTATTTTTGGATTCTTGTTCGAAACTCTACAAAATATATATATACGAGTATATATATATATATATATATATATATATATATATACGTATATATATATATATATATATATATATATATATAGATTTATGATATTTTGAAATGAAAGAAACACTTACAGTTTCCAGAGTTATGTATAGCTTTAACAGCTTTCTTCATTTTCGCTAAGCCTTCGCGGTCATACTCAAGAATCTGAAACAAAAATTAATTAAAATTAATGGGTTCTTATTGAAATGTACTTAATTAAAAGGTAATGATTAATGCCTAATATTATTTTCTCATTCATCCATTCAAATAACAATGTTACATATCTATCTAAGTGATCTAGTTGTAAATGATATCCATCTATTATTGAGTTTCTAGAATTAAGTTGAATTAGTTTGTAAGAAAACAAAAAGAATACAAATATGATATGACACCTTTTCGATAAATTTGTATATTCCTTTAAGTTTACATTCCATTACAAAAATGCGAATAACATCTAGTTCCAAAATATAACAAACAGTTGTTTCTACAAGTGTTAGTAGATCATTGTTTAATTTTAAACATATACAAGCGCGTAATATAGCACTGGAACGGCAAATATTCATCGAAATGCTTGTCACGTTTTATTTGAAAGTTTGCAATAAGACTTTCCCCGCATCGCAAAGCCTTTATTGAAATTGACGAATTTACATTTTATTGTAAATTAATTAAAAATAAATTAGGCAAATGTTTAATCAGCACATTAATATATGATATCAGTTGTATATGCGTCATGATGCGAAACAATTATGATTCGTTCCTGGTATTCAATTTGTCACAATTGTGACGATTGTGCAACGTTCGACATCTAGCGAATGACTAATAGATATAATATATATATTATAAATATAATATATATATATATATATAAATCCAGTAAGATAATCCACTCATTTATTTTTATCATTTTCATTTTGATCATATTATCATATTTCTGTACATTATTATTATTATTATTATTTGCAATTAATTTATTATTTAAGAAAAATCCATTTTCTTTTCCTAAACATATTGTTTGCTTGAATCTCATCAAGATCATGTTTCTTGACAGATGTCCTGAAGATGAAACGTACCTAGTTCCGAAACGTCGACAGTAATTAAATAAATAAATGAAGAAATTGTTTTCCAAAAAACTTTTCTTGTTTTTTATTACTTTTGGGTCCTTGTTCGAAATTCTACAATATATATATATATATATATATATATATAATAAGTATATATAATATCTGTTCAAAAAGTACCCGGAATTTTCGTTTTTTCAAAAAAATATTTATTTATTCGTCTACATTAATGTGGTCCCCTTCAAAGTAGTCCCCCCCAGATATAATACACTTATGCCAGCGTTTTTTCCAATTTTCGAAGCACCCTTGATATTCACTTTTTGATATGTCCTTGAGCACTCTCAGCGATTTTCTTCAATCGAGGAAAACCGCCGTCCTTTCATGGGTCTCTTCAACTTTGGGAATAGGAAAAAGTCACACGGAGCCATATCTGGTGAATTTTTGCACTTTGCAACACTTTATTTCATTTTTTACGCAAAATTTAATACAAATTCTTTGACTTTTCAATTCTTCCATTGTAAAAATCGCCGAGCTCAGAAAAACACGTCGAACCTTAGCGACTACCACAGACAAAGTAAACAGTGAATATAGCTGAAAATTTCATCATACTTTAGGGGCATGTATACCAACACAATAAAAAAAAAATTTTGACAATCAGACACTCCAGACCCGCGAAATTTAATTATTAGTAATTCCGGGTACTTTTTGAACACACCTCGTATATATATTAGGACGGGTCGATTTGTATGGGTAAAAAAGTCGCATAGGCACATATGATTTTCGTATACTACGGATCAAAATAAGATACTTTGCCGAAGAAACCATATCTATAAAATGAATCCCATGCATTCACCCAAAGATTGGGTCAAATTTTGAAAAATCCTGTTTTGGCTCATTTAGAGCGCCCCAATAATGCTCAAATGTATGACGAACTCTCAGTAACTTTAGAAGGCCGATCTACCAATGCCTCCCATTAGAGGTCCACCATACAAAAGTTGCATCATTTTGGGTACTTCAATATGACGAAATCTGCGATTTATTTTTATCATAAAAGTTATTTAATCATAACACATGCAAATAAAACTATGTAAAACTCATGACTGTTGTTTGAAGTCTTTTAGTTTCAAATCTGGAATATATTGCCCGCCTCTCTAATTCGTCGCCGTAACATCCCTTAGCAGCATAGAAACGCAGAGACAAAATGCATTGTAAAATTGAAACAAAGAATATTAATACTTTTTTTGTAAAAAAGTTTTTTGTGTGTGTATGAATTAATACCCAAAAAAATTGTTTAAAAAACATTTTTTGCTGAGAAAAGTACTAAAAACAATGATTTTTTCCAATAGTTGTATGAAAGACCTCTAATTGGCGATCCCAGGGGGTGAACCATAAGCATGGGTGGATCGGCCAGTTGGGGTTTGTTATACATTTGGAGCACTCTAAATGAGTTAAAACGGAATTTTTCAAAATTCAATCCCCATCTTTGGGTCAATGCACGGAACATCAGAATTCGTTTTAGAGGTATCGTTTTTTCAGCAAAGTACATATATATGTGTGTATGTTATTTTTACATACAGAAATAACTATTCTCACGACCAAAGTGCAAAATAACTTTTATCGCAAAATATCATATTTATACTATAAATCATGCAGCCGATTGAACTTCATTGATAATAATAAATATTATTACATATTTATCAGAACGGAAGTTATTAAATGGCTGTAAAGAAATAGAAAGCTGTATTTGTGCGGAAACAATAACCCATATCGCGATAAGAAAAATAAAATATTATAAAGTGTATCATTCAGAATTAATTGGGGCAACAGCTACTCACTAGATCAACCTTCAAATAAAAAACGCTATATTCAATACTCACATTTCTACAATTCCCTCGATTTGATGGAAGAATCCGAAATAACAAATTTCAAATTCCCCAAGATTTTATATTTTGCAATTTTTTTTATCATTAACAGATAAGTGCAAAATGCCTTTTCGCCAATATCTTAAACCGATTTCGAAAATTCAATAATTATTGGAAAGATATCAGTTGGGAAAGGTGCTGATTAGTTTTTGGTGAAGGTATGACTGACCTTTGTATATTAATTGTTAAACATTTATTTTTTTTGATGATTTTAATGAATCTTTGCATACTGATAGTGTTCATGATCTTAATGAACTAAAATATTATATGCCTACCATAAGTGGTTAAATTAAATAAATTCATTAAAGTCCCTCATAGTACATGCACGGTGTATGTAAGTCTTATGCTCAATTTAAACTATTTATCGAAAATAACTAGCATGTGAGCAAAATTTGCTAAACTTTGAACAAACTGCAATAGTCTCTAACATAGTAACGTCATTCTAATCTGAATCAACTCTATATACTAATAAATGACTATTCATTATATTAAAGTAAATTGGTTATTTACACATGTCAAGAAATTCATACAACTTTCCTTAAGACAAAAAGCCTCTTACACCTAGCTATCTATTTATATCCTCCCTTCTATCTAACAAAAATAAATAAAAATTCTATTTTTTCTGTCTTCACGAAAAGTAGGGCATTTGGAATTATCACATTACCAGGCATCACTTTACATTAGATCACTTAAGGAGCGATTGATTTATTTTTAGAGTCAAATTATGTTATAATATGAGACGTTTAAAAAACATGGTAGAACAACCTTGGCCAGTATAAGTTATTTGTGTTGATACTCTTCTATTTAAATGTATACAAAGTATCCGTTTATTTAGCAATCAGAAATTACATTATAACTATAAATTAAATTAATTGAAAATCGGAAATTGGGTCTATATCTCAAGATAAGTTCCTGTACAACAAATACAACCTAATGGCACTCATACTCAATAAATAAATCTGTAAGTCACCTCCAGCAATTAACATTGTAATATGGTTTTTGAGTTTTTTTTTCCATAATTTATTTAAGGGGGTTTTTCGTTTTTTTTTTTACAAAAAATGCAAGGTATTTTTGTTTTTGTTTTTCTCGAAATGTATTTATCATAGAGACATGCGGTTTTTTTTAAACAAAAATTACAAAATCATAGAATATTACGAAATTATCTTCTTTTTTATTTTCGCCGTCATTTTTTAACCAGCAAAATCGATCTCTTTTGCGGTGCCATAGATAAATCCGTTGCGCATCGCCCGAAACAAAAAAAAAAACTATGTTGAAGAAGAAGTTTCAATCCAGCCCCCTACCAAAATGAAAGAAATAAAGCAAGAAGGAAAAAAATGGCAGCTATTTTTTAAAAAAAGTGTCAAAAAAGGCCTTGTTATTAGGGCGAAAAGCTTCGCAAAATTTTTTTGCGTTATGTTATCAAGTTGTTTGAGGTAGAGGGACTAGGGTATTGCAATGGTGAACAAATTAAAAAAAATGTTTTTTTTTAATTTGTCACACCGCATTGAAAAAAGTCATTTTGAGAAAAACGTATTTAAAGTTTTTAATATAATAAACTAAATACACCATTTAATTTAATGTACTTAATACACCATGGTGTTCAAAGATGGTCATCATTAAAAAGGTCATGCGCATGAGGTATTATAATGAAAAAGAGAGCAGCTGGCATACAATAGCTTGCGAAGCGATGAAAAAAACGGTTTCAGAGGATCATACATATAGAGATATATATATCTATAACTTCGTTAAAAAATAGATATTGAGATGATTTTTTTTAAAAATAATTCTACGGTTTTTAGCTTTTATAATATCAAAAAATCTCCAAATCGAAAAAAAATAAATAAAAACCGAACAACCCCCTTAGAAATAATACGACCGAATATTTAGTTTGATCGTGGTATCTTTTTTTATATTTCATTTAAGATAATGCATTTAATTATAATATGACTAGCCTAATATCACTAAACTGAATATGAATAAAAAAACACAAAAGATAAATTTAATTCTAATAATAAGTCTAAATAAACAAATAATGATCATTCATTCAATTCGACGAATTTAGTACTTTTAAGGAATTCGGTGGAATGTTTGATGATTATTTTCTTAAATTTTTGAGCTAATTTCCAAGTTTCTTTTCTCGCTAATTGTTAATTTGTGTCTTTATGTTTTTTCACTAAATGCTTTTATATAGTTGATTCAGAGATTTTAAGACAGAGAACATACAAAAAGTTCATAGAATTTATGAATCTTTTTTATGTATTTTGTATTAGTTGAAACGCTTAAGTAGAACGTTAACACATTTAAAATCATAAGTGCACATGCACTAAAAGTTAAGTGTACAAATAAATAATATCACTAATACTTCACACATATTCGATAGTTTGGCATTTGTGTTGGCGCATGTAATTAGCTACAAATTTGTATTGACTAATAGTAAAATGGTTGATGAAATGTATAAAACTTCATAGTTTTATAATGTATACATTAAGCAAAATTCGTAGATATGCGATAGCACAGAACTAACTACAAACAATTATTTTTCACGTTGGTGGCGAGGCAAATATTTGTTAATGTAAACAATTTTGTAACGCTCAAACTCGGTGCTTTGATTCGTTTAATACTGATATTTTTTAAATATCATTAATCACATGGACAATCCCAGAAAAATCTGTTCCAAATTGAACAATAATTTAACATTTTTAAAATATATGCTGGCTCTAATTGTAAGACTAGTAATATAGAAAGCAGTTCTACAAGGCACAGCAATAGTCAAGGCCAATATCCTGCGCAACCAATATTATTAATTGTGATGAATAGATTCTATGTAGCACATTAAAATATATTTGTCCATAAATTAAGTATATTTTTATTCACAGTTTTAAATAAATTCTGCTACAACGAATATTGTTAAACAATAAAGACTTTGCAATTGTTGTAATAAGAGACTTATAGCTTTGAAGATTGTGAATCTATATCAATAGTGAATTCGTCAAAATTATATTATCATATATCTATTTTCAAATAAGACATGAATTACAAACATCATTAGTTACATCTTAAATTCATTTTACATTGGATTTTATTAGACATGTACCCAGCAGTATGCAATAGTAATTTAGATTAAATTTATTGAACGCAATAGCCTTCTTGTATGTGAAGTCAATGTCACATAAAAATAATATTGACTTTGCAATTAACAATATTTTTAAACAAATAAATAAATTGTACAAATTAGTATATTCGCTTCTTTGAAATAGATTTTAGTAGCTTACAAACACATACATCACTTACATTCACACATACAAATATGTATATATAAAGAAATTGGTTTTATTTATTGTATATAAATATTTCATTTCAATCGTAACTGAAATTATATAAGGCGACGAGACATGTTTAAATAATCTAAATAAAAATAATGCAATAATAAATGATACTTGCAAGTTTGTGTAAAGAACTGTAAAACGATTGACAAGTTCAACAATAGAATATTTTATAAAAAATTATGTATTTCTAAAATTAGCATTTAGGCTTATGGGACAATTGATAAAAACTTATTAGTTTAATGAATGGTGGTGAATTAAAACAAAACAATAATACAGATAAATTAAATGGCTTATCAGCTGTTAATAACGGTTTATGTTATAGCATATCATAAGTAATAGAACTCGGACAAATTAGGAATATATGTGTAACAAAGAAAAAAAGGCTATGATTTTCAGAAATGCAAAAAATATGAAAAGGAGGAAATAAGCATAAGGACGAAAGGATTAGAAATAGGACCTCTCGCCAAATTCTGGTGCCTGAATTGAATTATTGAAAAACTTTGCTTTGAAAATCAATTATTTTACCTCGTCCATTGTCACTAATGTTTGTCTACATTGAGGCATACGAGCCACAAAAGTAGATGTCGTGGGAGAATTATAATCCTCCCTAGTTTCATCGACGAATTCAGAAATTGCTATTAATCCTGGCATCTTGCTTTTAATATACACTGTGACAGCTAATGTCAAACTTGTACTTGCACAATTGAATCCGAACTACACGGGCACAAATTCCACAAACTTGATCACCGATATCAATTTAAAATAACTATTATTAACCTAAATCATATTTATAACTTCATTTTTGGCAATTTTTGTTTTGCACAAATTTTTATAAGAATAAATCACATATTTATAAGACATTTTATGGAATTCAGTGGGCTTCGTTATAGAAATTTATTAATTTACTAATATTATTAACATCTAAATTAAATCACATCATTATTAAATTTGTTCACAACGTTACTATTAAACAATTTAATATTTATCATGCCCAGATCCGTACTGTCTGAAAATAACATCGCAAATCCATAGATTATTATACTGCATCTGTGACCGAGATAACCTACCACGATCTTTTTAAATCGATCCGCATTACATATTACGAACTTCATGCCATTGAATGGCGGCTTATTCAAATATTTTATAATTTGATAAAGCTTTTCGCAACTCATATAAAAATTTGTATTATTTTACTTCCAAAATAAACAAAATAGAATTAAGTAAAAGGATTTTAAGATTTCATAAACCCTTTTAATGTACAAATATATACATACCATAAACTATATACAAATCAACCAAAGTATAAAATAATTTATAAAAAATATTAACATTTTTACAAATAATAAAATATTTTCACTCCATATTGAATGCCTCATTAAGTGCTTTTAAATCCCTTGCTTCAATAGCAGGTCTCAAGTCTCGTCTTTCATTTAAACTGCACACCATTCTTAAAGTACTCCAAATTGTTTCAGACATTTGACTATTACTTTTAATTGCTGATGCACTTAGACTACTATTTATATCCGGGTCCTGATTTGTTTTAGCTTGAAGATTCAAGGCAATCAATAAATGCTCAGCTGCTTCTCTGAAAATTTAGATGGTAAAAGTTGTTCTTGAATTTAATTGATGTATATTTGAATTAGACATTATACCTGCATGTAAACCAAAAAAGATGTATCAACTTACTTGTATGCATTGAGATTTATACATGTGATTCCGACATTGTACCTAGCTCTAATAAATCCAGGTTGTAATTCTAAAGCACGATGATAAGCATCAACAGCTTCTTCTGATCGATTGCCATTTGCTAAAGTTGCTCCTAGCCTATTCCATAGTATAAAGTCATTTGGCTTCACCTGTTAAAGAAAAATCATATATATATGAAGGCATTATAAGGATACTATTGAAAATATGTTAAAAGACCAGAATTAAAAAGAAAAATATATAATAAAATACCTGCAATGCTGTATTAAAACATTCAGCAGCTTTATCATATTCCTGAGATAAATTGAACAACACTCCAAGTGCACCTTGGACATCAGGATCAATTTTATTGGGTGTTCGTTGCACTGCACGGAGAAACAAATCTTGAACTTCTTGCTGTTGATTACTATAATGTTGTAAATTATTTTATTATCATGAACAAATTCAAATTTTCTTTATTAATTATCTTACTAATTTACAAAAGATGTTGCCCAATTATCTGTGGCCATATTTGCTGGCACTAAATCATGATATTCAGGATGATGTTTCATCCATTGAATTAAACTATTACATGCTTGTGATTGATAACTTTCATTAGTATATGAAACTGCTAAAGACATCAAGGCAGTCAAATCACCAGGTGTGATGGTCAAGCATTTGCGTAAGGCAGCAATGGCTTGCGAATCCTATAAACTTTATTGATTAAAATAAAGTTGAATAATATATTATGTGGTTAATATTTTAAAAACCTGTTCATTATCTGCTTGAGTTTTGCCTAGAAGTAGCCATGCCTCTGCATTATCTGGCTCTTTGAAGGCAGCAGCTTCAAAACAAAGTACTGCATTTGGCACCATACCCCTTTCTAGATAACTTTTACCTAATTCTAAGGCATTTGGAATTTCTTTCATAGGGTTGTCTTCAGAAAATTTATACTCCTTAAATTAATAATAATAATATTGAAGTTTATGCAGCAAATTTGTTCAGAAAGAAACATATTTTAAATACTTTATAAGGTTCAAAATAATCAGAAAACTCTGATATCCAAGGATGGTCTGCCGCTGATATATTTTTCCATTCTTCTTGTAGTTTGTTCCAGTATTTGGTATTAAATTCTTCGGCCAATGCATCTAGAATGTTAGCAAGAAAATGTTATTAATTAACATATGATAGAATGCAATTTTATTCAATATGGCAATTTCCTTACCTGCTTGTGGTTGAGTTTCTTCAAATTCTTTCGCCCAATCTGCTACATTATCCAAAGTATTTTCTTCTTTTGCATGGTTTGCAAACTCAGCTGCCCAGTCAGTAGGACCATTGTCAATTACTTGCTGATTTCTTATAATAGTTTGACCAGACCCAACTCGATTCATAAATTGCATGAACTACATAACACAGAATATTACATATTACCAAATAAATATAATCAATTTTTAATATATATTATTTTAAAAAATTACCTCTGATTCTGAAAAGAAACCTTTATTGTCAATAGAGTTTATTAAGGCATTTGCAGATTCCCTTGCTGCTTTGGAATCATCAAACTCCTATTTTTTAATAAATATTTAAATTGTTAAATTGTAAATTGATTATAAAATATTTTGAATAATTATATGTTTTGAGTCTAACATTACCTTGGAATTTGATTGAGTCATGTCTTGCCCTTGAATAAAATCATTAACCCACGGACTGGGGTATATAGCATTTTTTGCACTTTCTTCTCGAATATCATTCCAAACTGATTGCAATGCAAGATCCTTATAATAAAAAATGTATAATATATATATATATATATATATATATATATATATATATATATATAGATATATTTCTTCAAACCTGCTGCATAGGAGGGGGATTGTGAGTTACAAATTCAGTACTCCAAATTTCATTTGGTTGTACAACTGGATGAGGTTCAACTTGTCTTATTTCATTAAGAAGATCTTTCATATTGAATGTCTAACAATGAATGAAAACTATTAAGTTTATTTCATATATTCAATTTCATTCATCGTTTCAAATTGAAATATATACCTGTGGAGGTCCTGAAAACTCTCTAAAGAACTCATTAACTAACTGTTGTTCATTTAAGACCCCAGGCTCTGGTCGAAAACCTGCAGAAGCATTTTGTGCTCTGCTAAATCCCTCATCTTTAAAGGCAGTGTCTCTAGCAGCATGACCACCCAATCTTACGAGAGAATTTTCAGCCCCACATTCAGCTTCTAGCAGTTCTCGAACTGACATTTTAAATAATGTTCTGAAGCATTAACCAAAATAAAACGTTTAAGTGAACTTTATTAAATGTAAAATTTAGTTTAGTTTAGTTTAATTGTTTTTTTTAAAACGTTTTATTATTACCACAAATAAAAATATATTTTTTATTTACGTTACACGAAAGTTCAAAGTACCTGAAATGTCAGCAAACGTCAACTTAGTATTGTCATTTAAGCATAGATGGAGCAATAGGCATATTGAAGCGGTTTATTTAAACATAAATAATAATAATATAAAACAATTAATACCAACAATAATTAAGACTTTATATAATATCAAAAATAACAAAAACATTTAATCATCGGTTTGAAAAATAAGTTCTATGAAGAGGTTTCCATCGACAATCGAATACGTTTATTAGTTATTAAATAGTTTAAGTTTGAATTTAGTCCTTAAGTACAGTATGGCTCAAACCTAAATAAATGTTAATAGGTTTAAACATCCATTCGGTACAGTTCATATATCCAATGTATTTTTTTCTTAAATGGCATAATCTTTTGTAATGATGACCTTTTTTAATTTCTTTGTCCATCTTCAAAGAATATGTTCCATGTTTTTTTTTATTTAATACACTTGGCTGAAAATTTACACGAAACATTGTAATTAAAATATATCTGTAATAGTAGACTAGGCAAAGTTTTTCTTTGAATAATTAGCGGAATTTTTGTACAAATACTTTAAAAATTTGTACCAAAGCCCTCATTTTCTTTAAAATTAGTTATACTGTAGTTTTCAATTATTATCTTTATTTCCCATGCAATTAATACCATTTATTGACCTCAGTTTGATTATTTACTTCTATTGTTAAGTCGTCCATTACTAATAATTCTTTTCAAAATAAATTTAAAATTAAAAACACAAGGACTCTGAGGGAAAACAAAATCATACCGGTCATGTCATTTTTATGTGCGTGAAAAACAAAATATATATTTTTTTATCTATTTTTTTTCTAAAATTTTGTAGTTTTTATTATATTTTATTATAAATCTGTTTTGATATGCTCTCAAGAATTCTCCGATGTCGTCAAATCACGAACAGATTGTTGAACACTTCATCTACGGTTTTGGGTGATGCCTCAAAGAAAAATAAGTGTGATAAGATTGGAAAGATTGTAAAATGCCAACCCTGCCAGCCAGAGAAAAAGCCTCCAGTAGATAAATGTAAAACTAAGGCTGACGAAGAAAAGGTATTTTGTTTGATAGAAAATTTTCAATTAAAAGAAAACAAAACGTAATATCAGAATTTAATATGAATATCATTAGTTTCTTACATACATATTAATTATTATTATGCTCTTCTTGCATAAATTTGCAGAAAAAGTCCCAAAAGGATGATCCAGATAGATGTAAACCTCAAAAATGTGGCGAACATCTGGAGGAGAAAGAAAAAATTAAAAAGGAACCTAAAAAAGATATTTGCGATACTAAGAAGACACCAGATAAAGATAAAAAATCGAAAATAGTGTGTAAAGCATGTCCTGAAAGTAAGAAAAAAGACGAATCAAAAGATTGTAGTAAAAAACAAGATACCAAAACTTGTGAAAAGACTACGATGATAGATAGCATAGAGAAAAAGGAAAAACAGAAAAAGCCAGAGTAAATATTCTTATAGACACATTATAGTCTATAACCAGAAATAATACCACAGACAGACAGAAAACCTTAATAATTTAATTTATTTTATATAAATACCTTTTTTTGCAGGACAGCGAAGGAACGTGCAGAAAGATGTTCTATTAAGGCTGCTAAATGTGAGACGGAAAAACCTGCAAAGAAAGCTCCCAAGAAACGGGCATCTTTTAAAGGTGCGAAACGTAAAGAAACTGTTGCTTCTAAAAAACCTGCAGCAGTTCCAGCAAAGAAAGCTCCATCACCACCAGCCGACAAACAAAAACCCCCAGAACCGAAAGTTTGCACGCACATGCAGCCTACAAAGAAAAAGGACTCCGTAAAGAAACCCGAAGAACCAGCACCAAGAATGAAATCGTAATATTCAAAATTTTATATTTTAATTTATATTTTTTTGATAAAACTGTTTTTGCTTTAGGAACCTCTCTATATATTAAGTACATTATTTATAAGTTTTATTTCTATTTAGGATAAAAATCTATCGATATAATCCAGAATCTAAAAAACCAGCATGTCTTCAAGAATACAGTATCAACTTAAATCAATGTGGAAAAATGGTACTGGACGCTCTGGGAAAAATTAAAACTGAAATAGATCCTACACTTACATACAGGTAATTAAAATTTAACAAAAAATCCAATTTATCTTGTATTCATTATTTGATAGAAATATTGTTATAGCAATATAAATGCACCTGAAATTATCGAGATAAATAATAATATATGGTTGTTTAAAATCTCGTTTTAAAAATATTTTACTAAAATATTTGGATAGGCGTTCGTGTCGTGAAGGAATTTGTGGCTCGTGTGGAATGAATATAAACGGAGAAAATAAGTTGGCTTGCACTACAGCTATACCAGAATCAGGTGTCTTAACTATTTATCCTTTGCCGCATATGTACGTCATTAAAGATCTGGTGACTGATATGTCGCACTTTTATAGGTAAATAAAAAATATTAACATATAAATATTGTAACATTACTTGTTGAATACGAACGCAACAAAATATTAATATCTGTTATCCTCACGCTCTTAAATATTTTCAGATTTTATTTTTGCAATTTCTTAATGTTTTTTGTAGTTTTTGTTTGATATTAAATCCATAATTAGTTTGATTACTTTTTAGACAATACGCTTCTATAGAGCCTTGCTACAAAGAGGAGACTTATAAAATGGGCGATGAGGAATATTTGCAAAGTATTCGCGACAGTGAAAAATTGAATGGGGCCTATGAATGTATATTATGTGCTTGTTGTTCGGCTGCTTGCCCGTCTTACTGGTGGTCTGGTAAGTAATATATTGATTATTATAAAAGACTTGATACTGATTAAAAAATGTAAATTTATTATGCACCAGGTGAAGAATATTTGGGGCCAGCAGTTTTATTGCAAGCGTACAGATGGATAATCGACAGTAGAGATGAAGCCACTGAAAGACGTTTGAAACAGATGCGTTGCCGATTTGCAGCCTATGGATGCAGAAGCATTATGAACTGCGCTAAAACTTGCCCTAAAGGTTTTTGTAATAATAAACTATTACTCAATATTAAAAAACATTCAGTTTTAAATTATTTAACATTCTATTAATTATTAATACACTTAAATTTAATAAAATGATAATATTTGAAAATGTTAATTTTAAATCTGTAGGTTTGAATCCAGCCGCGGCAATAGCTAATAAAAACTGATGTTGGCCGGGTGCGCTGAAAAGGAGGAACCTGATTTAGCAGCAAATGCTTCTAGAGGGAAAGGCCGCTGTAAGGCAGCTATGCCAGAAAAATGCGAAGATGACGATGATGAGCCAGAAGAACCAGAGTGCAAGGAAGAAAAGAAACCTAAATGCAAAAAGGAGAAAAAGTCTAAACCGAAATTCTGCGTAGAAGACAAAAAAAAAAAACCAAATCCAAAGAAGAAAAAATACCTGAATGTAAAAAGGAAAAGAAACCTAAACCAAAACCCAAGCCAAAGAAATGCCCAGAACCTAAACAAGAAAAAGCACCAGTTTGCAAAGAAGATAAGCCACCAAAATCCGAAGAGAAATGCGCAACAAAACCCAAAAAAGAAGCCGCTCCAAAATGCAAAGAAAATGAGCCACCTAAAGAGAAAGTACCAAAATGTTTATTAGAGGACGAACCAAAATGCGACGAGGGACAAGCATCAAAAGACAAAATGAAGAAGTCTCCAAAAAGAAAAAAGGACAAAGTTCCTAAATGTAATTTGGATAAAAAAGACGATTGCGATTAAATAAATTATTTGGAATTTTAACATTTATCTTTTTTAAGTAAAGATACTTTCAATACTATCGAGATATTAATTACATAATTACAATCTCATGAAAATGTCTTACTTATATTTACGTAATTATCAGTAATTATAAATCAGGAATATATTATTTTTTTGTAATTTAAAATAATTTAGAAATTCGAAATGTTTTTATTAAATTATTTTTATAATTATATAAACACTACAACATTAAAGTAATAAATATTATATATCAGACCATTTCCATTACAGTTATTTAATACAAAAACATTTATAAATTCTTTAGCAGCATATAATTTTTATGATTTTAGATATCATTAGTACTATTAATTGAAAAAACTGTGAATGAAGTTTGCCCGGATTCCTTTTATTTTTTATGATGTTTTGATACTTAACATTAAAATCACGTATAGAGATCACTTCTTGCCATAGTTTTCACAACAACATCCAGCTATCAAACGATGTTCTTGGCACGAATTGGCATACAGGAACCACAGTCTGTGAACTGGCACTGATAGGGCAATCGAACTAAAACCATTTTAAATAAAATTTTTAAATTCTGATTTAATTTTTTAAAATTTTTGAAGCTTGATTTAAATGATCTTACAATAGGGGTCTCCGCAGCAACAGGAGTCATGAAGATTTGTGACTGCAATAACTATAGACTGAAGAATCACATAGAGGACAACCACCACCTGCGCTTGGATTCAATCAATCCTCCAAAACCTCCAAATTGTCTTCCTTCAACGGGAAGATCACTACTATCTGGAACTAATTTAAAAATTATATTACAGGGTTTGAAATTATGAATAAATATAAATAACATTGATCTACGTATATTATGAAAATATCCACCGTTTTCTTTCAAATGCTGTTTTTTTCTTCAAAATATATTGAGTATCGCATCTTAACCTAGAATAACGCGTTGCTTGAGGTCAAGGTGTTAGAGGGGGGACCCTAGAAAATGGATCTACGTATATTATGAAAATATCCACCGTTTTCTTTCAAATGCTGTTTTTCTTCAAAAATATTGAGTATCGCATCTTAACCTAGAATAACGCGTTGCTTGAGGTCAAGGTGTTAGAGGGGGGACCCTAGAAAATGGGTAGTAAAAAATTGCAAATAAAGAAAGAACTATATTATTATATATACTATTTTATATTATTAATAGTATATCATATATACTATTTTCATAAAATGTTAGTAACGACTATAAAAGTCGTTACTAACATTTTATGAAAAATTAATATAGAGAAATTTGATAAATTAAATTTCTCGAAACTTCATACATTGATGATAAAAAATAATATTAAATAGCGAATTAAACGAAAATTTGTGAGTTCTATGACGAATATTTAGGGCACCTCATGTTTTACACACATACACATACACATACACACATATATATATATATAATAATTATTATTTACATATATTATATGTATAAGAATTTCAGATTAACGGTAAGCCGCAATAAAAAATGCAAAACTTTAATAAGTTAATCTTATGATGAATTAACGGAAGTTGTTCACGCTACTTATTTCTCTTTTATATTTTTTAAAGCTAATATAGAAATGTCTATGCAAACCATTTTATAATAAAGTATTTTTTATTTAGAAAAGTTTATATGTGCCAAAAATTGAAGCAAACAGATTAAAATACTTGTAAAAATTATAAATTTTTATTTCATTTGTAAACATTTTGGGTCCATTATTCTATGTTCAAAAGCTTAACAGTTTCACAAGTCATATTAGTACCAAAATCTTGTGTACTCACCCAATTCATGTGACCTCGTTCTATTCAGTAAAACTATAACGAAAACAAGTAATTTTGGAAGAATTTCATATAGATTCGTTGCATTTTGAATTATTAAATACGTAAATTATACAACTCAGACTGGGTCTGAATATATAAGTTCAACGTTCTAACTGTAAGTGACAAACCGCCTGGAGCAGTTTTTTGAATTCAGTCATCAATGCGAATATATTAATCCGATAATCAGGTTTTGCCCTAGTTTTTTTAAAAATTACAATTATTTGTAATATTAAATTGCATGGTATTAGAAAATTATATACTTTATTGAGATATAAATAGTTGCTTATAAATTTATCTCATTAAACTAATATCCAATTATTAATGAATAAAACATTGTTTTGACTGTTATAATCATTTACATAATAATTTTTGTATTTTTATGAAAATACATAAATACTTTTATAATATTAAGTATAATATAATAATTTATTATCACATTTTCTATCAGTTTGGTATAACATTGTCATTATTTGGTTTCAACAATTCTCACGCATATTTTATAAAGACAATAACTCTAACCAATATTTGCTCTACATAACGAAATTTATGCCTTGGACATAAAATAATATATTAAATTTATATACATGCAACATATAACTTAACAACTAAAGCTGCTATGGCTGTCATCAATAAATTATTTGAAACTGCTTTTGGACTGGCTGATGATCGAATTCTCCCTGAAAAACATATGCATCATGAAAGAAATTAGGGAATTTCTAAATTTATACAAATAAATGATGAATATAACTTAAAACGATTAATTAAAATGAATATATTAATAAATACTAATTTATATACTGATTGTGATTATTTCCTACTCACATTTTTTTTTCAAAGGAGAATCACAGCAGCATCTTTTAATGCGATGATATTCGCCACAATTAGCAGCATGCAAAGTGCATGTTTTGGACGATAAATAGCAAGAATGCGGTATGAACGGCAAAGTTTCTGAAAAATTCGTTAATTATAAAACTCACATATATTTTAGAATTATTTTCGTATAGGATTTTGTTAAATACTAATATATATGCATATATGCCAGTGTTAAGTTAAAGTTTCCTACAAACATGATTTATAAAAAAATCGTACCAAAACTAATTAATATAATATTAATACTATTATTTCAACAGCTATCAAAAATATCTTTCTTTTTGAGCTGAAATTACGACTCATAAATATAATATATTGCAACAATTTTCCAGAAAACTGTTTTTATATACCTCACACATATTTGGGCTCATATTTTTAAATGAAGATGTATATCACTACTGCTTGATATCAGGTTTAAAATCAAAACCAAGGTTGCAAGGCCCAAGCTCCAACCTCTGCCATACAAGCGTCTTAATTATCAAAATAATAAGGATTGAAAAGACGACAATTACGGTGATCTCAGAATTTGAATAGTTAAGTTTTCCACGGTTAACCAGGACGCAGCAATAAGACGAAGAATATTTGATTAAACTTAGCCAAAAAAGCCCAATGACAATGATCTTTCGATTTTAAGGTTTGCAGAATAAATTGTATAGCTTTCAAAAATTTAAAAAAAAATATAATTTACTGGGAACACAGACTTTGATTTTTCCAACCAAAGAAAACGGATGTATGAATGAACTTGAGCTTCAAATGGTAAAGAAGTTAAATTAAGGGCCTTTAGTTTTTCCATATGTCATCAAGCCTTGCAAACTTCATGTAATTTTTTTATAGGCTTTTATATATTGACTTAATTAGAAAAACCTATTTTATTTAATTAAATTTATTACATTATTTAAGAGTCTTTTCCCGATTTGCATGATTCGTGACCAAGCGCACCACAATAATTTTCAATTCTGCTGCAGTTATGTTCATGAAATTGAAAACCGCTTGTTTTGTGCCGTACTGGTTATTAGAGTAATTTATTATTGCAGTCAAGGACATTTATGCAAAAGTAGAAAAAATATTATACCGTAAATACATCCTCTGTTATTATCTAGGCAACTCATCCATGCATTGGGTAATGACAATAATAAAATTCGCAAATTTGCGAATTTTTAATGTTCTTTTATGAAAAAACTATGCATTTTTTTAATATTAAATGTTTTTGCTTTATATTTGTCGATATGTATTATACATATTCATATAAGATGTGTCAATTGTTAGCATTAATGATCTACACCTATTTGCAAATGTGTACATTGTAAAACAATAATGTATAGTATCACCGTAACATTTGTTTTTTTTTGTGGTCACAATGAAGAATGCATAGTCAAAACATCACTTATGATTCACAAATAATGGTGAATTTGATATTTATTACAACAAAAATTTGATAAATTTAAGAATTATTTACATATGCAACATGAAACATGACGCATATCACGAGCGATATATTATAACAATATGAAATGTATCTCTCAAGTAATAATATATATATATATATATATATATATATATATATATATATATATACACACTATAGGTTTCAGATTCTATTATTCAAGAATATTCAATAATCTTGATCAAGAATGATCATGACTTATTCTAAAAATAATAAATCAAAGCATACTTAAGCGCCCGACCATTTTTCTAAATCAAATTACAATGTAAGTTTATTTATTAGTTTTGACATGACTGAAACAATATTCATTTCTTTTGTTTATGAAACTCAATAGTTATTAAAATAAGCAGCGTTGATGAATACATCAGGATATAATATAAATATGTCCATTAAAAGAGGCTGTAAATTTTCAATCTAACTCGATGTACTACAATGATGTATTACTTTTTACCTCAACATGTCTTCAGTAAAGTATTTTTAATTTCAACATATAATTTAATCCAGTCATAAATAAATAACAATCAGTAGAAGTTAGCAGCATTACTTTTATTCTAAATAAAACGTGTGTAAAAGAAAAAATATGTATCTCTATAAAATATAACAAGTAGACATAAAATTAAGTTTAGTGAAGTTAAGTTATACTGCTAGTGTGTTCTTTTAAGAGGATGTCCATTAACCACGTGATCGACTTTTAAGGATTTTTGGATTCCATTTTCCCCCTTAGTCCTACATCACTTGTATTATTAGTACATAGAAAAAATGATATTTTTTTAGAAAATTATGGATTATTTTTAAATATAAATACACTTGAAATCTTACCAGAACCCCCCCCCCCCACGTGATATTTCATGATTTTTGTAACTCCACCAATCTTCTAAACCTCACGCGATCAATTGACGGATCCTAAGCCCTTTTGGGAAATGGAAAATTAATAGCTTGAAGGTCTTGGATCAATTGATTATTTAGTAATATGTTTAAGTTTTTTTTCTGAATCATATTATTAACGATCAATGAACTCAAGGCTAGTATTGAACACTAAAACGACGCGTCTTGAATTTCCTTTACAGAATTCTAGGAACCGCATAGGCTATCGATAAACGTGCCTTGTTAGCAAACATACAGATTCGTAAACGTATTTCCAAAACTGATAATTTTTGTATGAAGTAAAAAAACTTGAATGAGCTCTTTCATTCGAAATATGTTGATCGAGAACTTTGCTCAAAGTTCTGAATTATTTATGACATAATGCATATTCATAAATCATTATTTGAATAGTATTTTGATACATATCGCACACCTATATCGAGCTGGTCGCAACGCCAAGTGAGTTATCAAATTTATCGAGATAGGTCAGAAATATTGGGCGAGAAATATAAAACTAAAATATTTTGATTGGTATATACTCATATAAATTTAAGTTGTTCTATATATCTTATTCAATATTTATATATAAATATCGAAAGTAATTCTGTTTCAGATTAATTATCATTAATTCCTGTTGATGCAGCTTCGCTTTTATATAAGAATGACTGGACCAGTAACACAATAAGGTTGCTTAAAAATACTGACTTTATGCTTAATATCATTAATGTATACATAAGTATGCATATTGTTATAAATTCATAACCTTGCAATTATATCTAAAAAATAAAATATTCACCTTCATAGCGTTTATCGCAGCAACAATGGTCATTCAGTAATCCATTACCGAAACAGTACATTAATTGATCAACAGTACAAGTCTTGCAACCAACTGGACTTTCATCTTGAATAATAATATTTTATTAATAATTTAATACTAATAATTACTACTAAAATAAAATTGAAAATTACAATGTACTGATTTCATTAAATGCATTAAAATTATTAAGTGAGTGCAGAAAAAATTATAGATAAAACCATGTTATATAAATTTATTTTAATGGATATAGTACTATTAATAAATATCCGCATGTAATTTTGGAGTAACTGCGTACTAAAATATTTGACCCATTTCTTTAAGAATCATCGAGACTATGTCAGTAGCAATTAACAGTTCAGAAACTCTATATGAATAAATATTTTTAACTAATTGATCTAATTAATAAATGTTAATAATACTACTATGTTAGTGTAAGTCAAATCTTTTTGCTACGTTATTGGAGATTTGACAAATGCATAAATATTGAAAATGTAAACCATAGTTAGCTATAGTTTTTGCTCCATTTTTTTCAGTTACAATAATACCTAAAAGTTATTATTAATTAATTAAATATATAAATATGATGCATACTTATATCAGCACTTCTTGCTGCTGCGAAAGCTTCCATTTCTGATACTTCATGATCTAGGTAATATTCCTCGATTTGTTTTTCTTCCAAGCTTGAATTGAGACAAAAAATTTATTAATAAAAATAAAGAAAAAATGAAATTCTAATTTATAATATATATATATATATATATATATATATTTAAAAGAGAAGTAGTGTAAGATTTACCTATGATTGTCGATCATACTCATAGCTCGTGCCGAGCATAAAAGGGCTAATATTATCACGAAAATTTTTCGTGAAAATAAATCTGAACCAGCCATTGGCCGAAAATACTACTTCTTGTACCATGGAGAGAATCGTTTTAACTGTAAAGTAATAAATATTATTCGATTAAGATCAGCGGCTGTGGAGTGTTATAAAACCAACAATCCTTTTAGTTCTATACAATACGTGATAATTTATATAAAATTGTATATAATACAGCTCAACATTTGCTTAATAGTTATGATACAACATGTAAAATCAGTCATGTGCGAATTGTTTTGAAATCGAACTCTACACAAAGAACTAAGCATAACAGATTTCTGTATTTAACAGAATTTTTTCCAATATCGACCTCGATTTAATAAGCGTTATATATATATATATATATATATATATATATATATATATATCCTACAGATTTTGTAACAATCGTAATTGTGACAAAGACAATGTAGAGCAATTAAGTTTTTAATATCCTACACACAAGTAAAACGCTCCCATGAACCAAGGACTTACTCCAAACCTTGGGACTTACTTAACCAATCAGGCGAAACGACTTACTTTGATAATAAAACTATCACGAAAAGACACGCTGTCCAAGTAATTCATATTATTCATTTTCAAGTTCTACTAAATTACTCGCAGAACAAGGAACAAAAAACTTTTAATTAGTCGGAATGCGCGTTTAAGAATATATCTCGAGATCTCCGAGAGTATCTAAATGAATGTTCTGCTGTTTCTATAATAAATTTTGCCTCTGAGATGTTATATATTTTCGTGCTTGCCATGTTAACGAAAAAATTGTGTAATATCACAGTTTATCGCTGGACATTAAATTAAGGATGTATAAAACCGGAAAGCTGGAATTATTTATGAGGCAAGTGAAAATTAACTCTTCATATTATTTTTCATCAACTATCAAAATCGGTGTTAACGAAAATGCATGTTAAGTGTCTGCAAAGATTAAAGCTTTCGCAATGTAGTCATAATTCCAGAAATTTAGAGTAAAAGCTATAAATACATCGAACATTACAAATATAGACTGAGTATTGAAGTAATTTGCTATGGTGAAATAAAAAACTCATAATATTTAACAGTGAGTCGATGGCAATAAATTATAAAACAACAATAAGTCAATTGATATATGTTCATCATTCAATAGTGACATATGTTTATTATAATTTGGTTTTAAGAACCTGACCTATTAGTAAATTTCTATAGGAAAACCAGGCCCATATTTTAGATGGATCGTTTTATTAGAACCGTTTACTACGGTTTCATTAAAACCGCCAAAAAAATTTCAACGATTTTAACACTACAAGGTTCAGTTTTTCTTTAATATGTAACAAAAATATATTGTTTGTAACTGGTTTTCAGAAGATGAGGAAAATTTATAAAAATGAAGATAAACCCTTTGGTAAATATTTGTATTATTACATTGTTAAATGTTAGTAGCATCCATAAAGATCTCAAGACATATCGCTAATCATAGTTTTATGGCTATAGGAACGATTGAGATTGGTGTTCCACATATTCCACTAGGCGCCTTGTATGGTTAAGATTCAGAATGACATGAAATGTCGAGATTACAAATAAAATTTAAATAAATTTTTTTGAAACGCTTGAATAATTTTATACAGTCAAATTGTTTCAGTATTTACACTATATTCAATAAAACCGTGTTTCTGGGTGATCATAGAATTGAAATAACTGCATTATTTCACACAAAACCAATTTTTATTGTCATGGACAAAATTCGTGATTCATCAAAACACTAAATTGATCAGCTTCCTACACAAAAAGCACCGTTAATTAGAGACTTCGTTCGTTTGATCCCAAGAACAAAATTGTCCTGTCGTCATTTCTATGAACATTGTTCACTTAATGTCAAAAAATTAAGGTGATCCGCGATGCGTGACAATCTGAACTGAAAACAAATCAAACAAAATAAAAAAATTAGAATTGATCATCAAAATTATATTACGGTTGTTCTAGATATCCGATACCTTTCTACGTGCTTGGGTCAATTATTGAAACAAAACGCGATTAGCAAATTATATGTACTGTGTTATAATTTTATGCTAATTGACTACAAGTCGAAAAACGGTATGACGTTATAAAGAACATATGCGGTAATTTTAATAGTCAATTATAGAATAATACGCAGAGAAATAACTTAAACGTGGGTTAAATTTAGAAAAAAAATACAAAATTTTTCAACCAATATATTTTGATTTTTATTTTTGTTGTTTGGTTTTGAACAGTAATTTACATGCGTCTTTTTACTATCACGAGATCTTCCATAAATTTGAAAATTAGTGATTAATATCGTAATAATTACTATACACACTTTTTTATTTTTATTATCGTTTGGCTTCACTGTTTATCATGGAATATTAATATATTTTAATTTTTATAATATTTTTTTATTTGAACAGCAATTAGGACTATATATGTGTCTTTTTACCGCCACTAGATTTTTCATACATTAGCAAATTAGTGATTAATAACCGTACTATTAATTACTATACAACATTTTCATTTATATTATCGATATGATTTTCTGTAAATTATAGAATGTTAATATACTTTTGATTTTTTTCTTTTTTACAATTCTAAGAGCTGCTAAAGATCTTAACCATATAGCCCAACTAGATTTGATCATTAGAATTTATTTAATACTGAATGATTTTTGCACTAGATTGCAATGTAGTTCTATATGCATCGAATTAAAAATCATGTCTAGGCAGGTCTGTAATTTTTCTTTTAAACTATATCTATATTTTAGAATAAAAGCAAGGTGGGTAATGAATCTGAAACTTTCTGGTTGGAAGATCAAGGCTCTAATCTCCAGGCTTAGGCGAAGCACTTATTATGATAGTTTTAATAAACAAGTGGGGTGCATGGCATCGAGCCTTAAGGCAAATTGCTGAAACTTCCCGCACCGTAATAAAAAATTTTGGCACGGAACCCAAAAAAATTTAAACAAAATCTGTACACATTATTAAAATCTCTATAAAATATCTGATAATATGATGTACATAAGTCCAATAAATATTTTAGACCGCCAAATTTTTTTTAACTTATTTTTATTGAGAGTCCATGACCACTGATCCCGCCTTCCCAATAATTTAGTCAGTTTTTCATCTTGTCAATCTAGTAAAATGGTTTTTGAATTATTAAAATCACGCTCCGTTCTCTTAAAAACTGTGTTACCGTTTTTGACACCTTTTGCCCGTATCTTAGAAACGGCTAGACCTGCCTTTGCAAAAAACTAATCAGCACTTTTCCTTATCAATACGAATCGAACGTTTTTTGAATTATTCAAATCTTTTGATCGGCATTCCCAAAATCGTCGACAAAAATTTGTGTCCGCACACACACACTTCTACATACATACACACATCCATTTTTTCTAATGTATGCCAAAATATTGTCGACGATTAGAAACCTTTGAAACGTAAAGATATATACAAAATTTCATTTTCGATTTTTTGCGATTAATCCTACGGGAAGTTAATAAAAATAAAATAAAAAAGTCATCACATTGTTCTACAAAATAATTTTTGGTTTTAAATGTGTTTTTATATGATATAAGAAGGAACTAGTTTGACGTACATTGTATCACAAAAGACTAAGGTATTATAAAATAACGCTACTTCAAGCAAACAGTGCCGTACTTGCAAAAAATATTTAATATAAAAAAGTTACAAATAGTAAATTTAACTACATTTCTTAGTTTTACTTATTTATATTCATTAGCAAATTTTGTTAAATTTATATAACTTCATTCCAACAAGTTATTTCTTCATATAGTTCAGCGTTCTCTAGCGACCCCATTTATATAATTTAACAGCTTCAACTTGACCGGAGGGTTGTTCCAATTCCGCGTCACGTGCAAGACCCCCTTCTATCAAGGATATTAAAATGAATTTCTGCATGTGAGTCATAAAAGAAAAATCAATATTAATGTCGTTATAAAACTTGCTGCGACTTGCACAGACGCCGTAAAGCGGCTGCCACACTATAAAACTGCATTTTATGGGAAACGTGTAGTGCACTATACTAGTAAAACAAAAAAAAAAACTCAAAAAGGAAAATCAATTCTATTTTAAATATATATATCTGCATTAAAATGTTAAATGGTAACAGTAAAGTGATTTTTTGTTACGTTCTTAAACAATTAAATTATTAAATCAAAGAATATTACATAATATTCATTTCTTAGTTTCCATTCTATGTAAAAAGTTTGCCAAGTGCCAAATTAATATGAAAAATAGCAAGTCAGATTTTTTAGCAAAATCGTAATCTCTTTTAGAAAATTAATAAAATGTATTATTCTATTAAGCCATAGATATATTTGTAACCGCAATCAGAATTTAAGAACCTATGACCTATTGAGATGAATTTTATAACTAACTAGCTTTTGTAGAAAACGACCCAACGGTTGTCCTATCTATATTTGATTAACCTATATATTGGAATAAAATTGTATTGAACAGTATTATCTTTTTATCCGAGATACGAAATAAGAAATTTCATATTTCGCATGCGCATATTTATAGTCCCCAGCAATAATAATATTATTATTATTAATTCGTTTGTTTTGAAATTTCTAAAAGTTTAATAATACAATAAAGCGATAACATTCCTTGAATCCATGACAAATCGTTTATTTAATACTGAACTGGCAATATCGCATTTTAATCGACATTTGTCATACATTTTATTTTGGTTAAAGACTGATATTGTAGCCTTTTCAAAACAAACACGTGAAATTGTTTTGATACGAATTTGTTTGATTTTGCGAATTACAAACAGTAGATAAAAAATTTAATATCAAGAATTCAAAACATTAGCTTCAAGATGATAAAATTACATTGTGGTTGTTTCATTTTATGAAGATATTTAAAAAAGTGTAAGACATTTATTAAATTTGATACTTTACCACTGCCTCAAGTAAATAAGACGTGATATATTATAATGTTGCAAAAACAAATTAGTAGTTTATTTTCTATTCGGTGTATAAAATAATGATTATATATATTATATAAAATCTATTACATAAAACTTAAATTTATTATTTTGATTAACAGACTTGGCTTCAAAAGTGGGGCCAATGAAGGTACTGTAATTTGTGGCAAATAATACCATACTGCAATTAAAAGAATATATGCAATTGTAAGAATTAAAAATATAGTATCTATTATATTACATACGGAAGCATTTTTATGATAGTATGTAATCCAATTCATATATGGATTATATATTAATAAAATGCATATTCAAGATGAAATACTTTATCGCCTTAAAAAAATTTAATGCAAATTTTAATCACATGCAAATACCTTATGTTGGGAGTGCTAAAAATTTTATGTGCAAAAAGTAGATAAGAATTATGACGCATAATTTACATATTTATTTAAAAACTTCTATTTGAAGAGATAATGCAGATATTAATAATATAGTTTTAAATAAAAATGGTAAGAGTAATAAATTCTATTTTTTTCCAATAGTTTGAAGAATGCTACTAACTTGTTAGTAATGCACCATTGTCTTGTATGAACATGTTAAATAAAACTAAATAGGATACAATATTTTGGTAAAAGAACGTATGTTTACTCAAAGAATTTGAAAATTACTATTTAATAAACCAAGATAACTTCTTACAATCGCTGCAGAAGTGCAGATCAACTATTCATTTAATGAACAAATGCTTATTGGCTATTGTCACAATCTTTAAGCAGGATATGTGTTTTTTACATATGTACTTAATAGAAATATGTATCGTATGTATATATATATATATATATATATAAATGAATAATTTTGATCACCTTATAAGAAACTTGCACAATTGAAATCTAAAAGCATGCACCACTATTCATTATATTTTTGAATTTTTGCAGTTCCACCTTGAACACACAATCACAATCAGAGAAGCTACATAACAACTAACAGTTCACTTTTAAAAAATCATTTTAATTAATTTGCTACCAAAGAAGGCACACGTTTGATTTACGATGCAATAATATAGTGAGTAGTAACGGAAACCTAACCAATTTAATCACAACACCGGCAAATTTTAACGACCAAGTAATGGAATTAAATAATATTTTTTTTATTAAATTACGAACACGTACAGAGATAGAAATAATAGTCGGATGTCATGTACGACATGCGAATTTGAAATTAGGCAAACATGTTGGATTTTATTGTGTACTACGATATAGTTGGGAAGACCATACCATACCGTTGCGGAGTTGGTTGAGAACTATTCTACGGTCAGATGTCGGTGCAACGCGGACGCACTTTGAATCACCATGCCTGTATTTTCAGGAGTACAGACAATTACAAAAGTGTTGTGCGTGCGATACTAGTTTTTTTTGGAATTCATTCATCTTTGGCTCATTCAAAAAAGTATCACCAAAAAGGTAGGGATATTTTCTAACAGGTAATCACTAAACAAGAATCAATTTTAGATTTTTTTAGATCAATTACAAGTTTTTGTGAAAATATTCAGTAAGGGGACGTCCATTAATCACGTAATCTATTTTTTAAGAAATTTTGGACCCCCTCCCCCACCAAACATCACGAGTATTTTTATATACCAGAAAAAATTGTAAAATTTTTGATTCTTTTTGTTGTTAAGTAGTTGTTAAGTGGTGGAGAAAAAAATGTAAAATTTTTGATTCTTTTTGTTGTTAAGTGGATATTTGGATTTTTTTTAAATTACAGGTAAAAAATAAAACACGTGATATCTTACTATATGCCTCCCTCCCCCACGTAATATTTTGTAATTTTTTGTCAAACCCCCCTCCCACTAAAAACCTCACGTGATTAATGGACGCCCCCTAATTGGAAAACAAAAATTTTTCTAAGGCTATTGAGAATTACACCTTATGTTAGTGAGTTTATGACATATATGTTCGAAATATAATAATAATATTACATTATATTAACACAATACTAGTAACTAACTATCTTCAAGCTATTGGGTTAATTTTATTTTTTTGAGTCTAGAAATATGTGTGATGAATGTGGTAGGTGTTAATTTATTTATATAAATATGATTTTTCATTTTTTATTTAAAAATTTAATATTAGCACATAAACTTATAAACATTGATATTATTTCTACTTGCTTATTTAAAAATAAATAGAATAATGAATAACAGCTATTTTCGATTCTGGTTAAAGTTCCTAGAATTGTAGATTTATGAAGAATTTTTTCTTTTTGTATTATTTAATTAATTTTCAAAAATACTTAAATGCGTGAAAATGCACTTATTCTGTTTTTAAAAATACTTCTTTTATTATGTCTGAATGTTATAAATAAAATCGAATATAATGATAATATAAAAAAATATTTTGTAATAAAAATTTTCTTATATTTATTACTTCTCTAATTTTAAGAAAAAGTTATAGATCCACGTTTTCCGAATATTTAAGAAAAATTAAATCAATATTTCATTTTTTTTAATTACTTTCGAATTTAATGAAGTCAAATCAACATTTTTGAGTGATTTATTTTATATTCATATTTGAAACGTAGTTTATTACTTTGATTCTAAAATTTTATACATCTATAAACATTTTCAAAATATTTATTGCTAAAATATAGTTTTGCTAAATATTTAGCAGTAAAAATTGTCGCCATGATATTTTTATTTAATTTATCTTTTCAATTAATTTAAATGAAATTTTTGTAATATAAAAATACAGTAACAATTTTTTTGCCTACAAAATTTAAATTGGTATAATTTTCATTGGAATTTCGTGATACATATGATATCGATACGTAAAAGCAGTATGAAAGTATTCTAATAAGGAAAAAAAATATTTTTATTCAATCTATTTTTTTATCAAACTGTTCTATTATTATTATGAAATTAGCTTTACATCTATAGCGTCCCGCCACCAGCGTATTTTACAACGTTTCTCCAACAATTTCCCCAATAAAATATATTTAAATTATTTTATTGTTACATAATGTACGCTTTGAAAGAAATGCTTACTCATTATTTTGCAATGATTATTGCATTAGTTATAAAAGTGTGATGCTTTATTTAAAATTGCTTACTTACATGCATGTAGAATAATCGAGTTTAAAGACCTCATATCTCAAGTATTATATTTTGATTTTTTTAGTAACTGATCATGTTTCTCAAGCTATGTTACCATGTACGGAAAAAATTATTTTCGAAGTAGTAATATAAAAGCAGTTTATTAAAAATAAAATTGTTTTAAAATATTTAACACAGGCCGTGAACAATGAATAAATATTTCTCATTAAAAATTATAAATTTTTAATAACTAACATATTTCCAATATTTAATATAATTGTTAAAAACAACATCATTTTGTGCTAAATTTGATATTACTATGCTGTTGAAATATATATTTTTCGTATGTTTAGCAGAAAAGTATTTTTAATAAATATTTTTGCTAGAAATCAATTCTAGCTTTTATTCGATCATGGGCACCAGCCTGTATGTTACTTAATACTTTATACAACCAGGATCAGATTTATTCATGGATTGTATCATCTATCAACAGAGTACTTCGTAAAAAATTGAATTAATAATATTTATGATTGTCTGGGGGTTTTAATTAAATTATTATAAGATATCCTTTCATATTGCATGTGATTATTTACTTTATTAATCACATTTTATTAATATAGAAATTCATGGAAATATTATTTAAGTTTATTATTGTATATTATTATAAGCAGTTCAGTATATAGTTTACATGAAACAAGAAGTTTATTTATCGGCATGATTTAACATCCTGCGCAGTTTTGAATTCTGTCAATGATATTAGAATGTGGAAATTTTCATTTATATATAGCATTTGTCATTCGATCAATATTTGGCAAACATAGCTATCCGATATAAATTTAATACTTTAAATGGCGAAAGTACTTTTTTGATATTGGTATTATTGATGCAATTAGTATAATTGGTGTGATTAGTATATAACATTTAGTTTTTCTGTTTTTCAAGATTATTTATTTCATTTAATATGAGATTTGCCAATTTCGCCATGGCTGGCTCGATTTAGCAGGTAATCGCAAAAATATATATATTTTTGCTTAAAGCTTAATATACTAACTGCATATATATATATATATATATATATATATATATATTAGCTTATCATCTGATTTGATGTATTTATCTGAAAAAATCAATGAAGGAAAGTCATTGTAGAAACCTTTCCAAGACCATGGAAATCTAGTCCACAGTCTGCTAACTATTATAATCGTTTCGTATTCTGATTAACTAATTATATTTTTTAACTTTTAATTATAATCTGTCATTCTTAGATATTCATTAATTATTTTGACTTTATTATATGGCTTTTTTGAATAGTTGGCAACCTAATAGTTGTCCAATTCAATTGCGACTAATTAACTATACTCAAAGCATTTGTTAATATTTCATGATCAAAATAAGCAGATATACCCACCAGAGCGATTTTCACTAGATGTTATATTTGAGATCTATTCCCTTAAGTGGAGATTTGACGTCAAAGCTGCCTGATTGCCGTGATTTGGATGAAACCAGCAAACCCGGGACTAGTTTATGCTAGCCTACGTCTGGACTGATTATGCCACCGCTAGGCCCAATAAACTATAATGAGAAAAAAATTAAATATGAGGCTGATGAATGTGATATTAGCAAGAGCATGTATTAATTTAAGCTAAACGTTGAGGAAATGGTAAGTTCCTTAATAAGTTTAAAAATTTTATGTGATAAATATAATTTAACATAGTATGTTTTGAATATACTTTGAATTTTGAATATTAAAATTTGCGTGAAATTTTATTTTTGACTTGTAACATAACAATATATATGACAATCAAAGAACCAATCTTCAAACTTGCAACTTCTTTTAACAAGACGTTAACACTTCTAATTAACAAAGTTCTGGGTAATGAATTTATTGTTCATCATTAAAAGAATTTAATTTTGAATAAACTTTACTTTTTTAAAAAAAAATCTTCTTTCACCCACTTCAATGAAAATTACGTAACATCTGTCCTTATTCTATATCATGTACGTAGAGTTCTGTGTTTACGTTCCCGCGGTCCAGAAGTAGTTTATTTGTATTTTGGGTTCCTGTTGAGTGTCGATTCTTGGTTTAGGAATTAAACAGACACATATAGGTTCAAATTTCTGTGTATTGTATAAACATACATACAAACATACTCATATGCAAATTACTAAAACCACGTTGTTTGTACTTTATTTATACCTCTGTGAGATGTTTGGAGGATTCAGTAACATTGAACAGTAGATGGAAGCAAGTAAGTAATTAGTTAATTTTGGATCTTGTTCCTGTATTTAACTATTTAATTGGACAGGGCGTTAAATGATGTTAAAAATATGTTACCCTCGAAGTTAGTTAACTTTATATAAAAACGATTTTTTTTAGAAATATCTAAGTTATAGAAGAATGTTTAATGTATATTGCTATCATACTGCATTTATTAAATAAATTTTTGATAGCACATTTTACATAAATATTTTTCTCAATTTTTAAATATTTTAATTTAAAAAAATTTAATTTATTGAGTATGTAGGTACCTACTTATTTTATTAAGTTATAAAAATATAGTTTTTAAAAATCAAGATTCACACACATATTTTTAACTTATCGTAGGGTTATTGTAATTGTCCAAATATCGAAATTGAAATTTTTTGCATTACTTCACGTTTTGAAGGTTTCTGAACGTCTGGCATACCTCAGAAAAAATGGATGTGTGTGTATATATGTATGTATGGATACAGTTTTTTGTCCACGTTTTCGGGCGCACGGATCAAGCGATTTGAATGGTTAAAAAAACATTTGATTCCTATTGATAGGGACATGTGCTGATTAGTTTTTGAATAAATGTATAACAATACGCTTCGTGTTTTTGTTTCTAATAATCTAAAAATATGCTAGAGAAACATTCACATTTTTCAATAGACTATTTCTTGAATCTTATGGTTATTATATGCTCAATATATGCCCATGGCTACCGCAAATATTTATACTTATTTTCAGAACTTTGTTTATAATTTTATCCGCAATAAAATTGCGTTAGCAAACTATTTCTATTAATATTTCTTCGAATAAAACATCAATACTCATTAAAATTATGATTATAAAATTTTAAAACCGCTACGCTTTGCGTTTGAAGTTTTGGCAATTCAAATATATTTTTAGATTCCAAAACCAT